AATAAAGGGGGTAAAGATATTATATGCAGCGAGCTAACATAAAAATTAATGCAATGGCATGAAAAATTGCACATCCCTAATACTATAGGTTATCCCAATTCATAGAGGGTTATTATTCTGCGACAATGAAGCCCAAACAAATATCCACTAGTCGACAAAATTACTCTATTTTCTAGCTTTTTTTTTATTTGCCCAAGACTTGATCCAATTACTCATACTATATTCAATTCTTGAATTAAGTTGGATCAATAAACTTCATGTTTATATTTATGCAACATAGATATGATCATAAGATGGATGTGTTAGTATTATATAACTTCATGATGTCTTCAAGAACATAACTATAACACTAAAACATTAATCTATGAACATAGTTTAACCATCGTGGAACTTTTCAAATCACCCAAACATTATTCTACGAGAATATTTATTCTTCTTGAATATGCCAATAAATTAATTGGGTGACATGTCTAACTTTTATTCATTACGCCAAAGTAAATGTGGTGTCATTTGATCATTCAGAATAATTCAAATCCAAAAGGTCATTAATTATTTAGGATATTGTTTACTACAAGTAAACCAATAGCTTTCAAATAGCTATATGCAATTTCATACTTCCTTGATGAATATGCAATTTTCAATGGCCAATAAATAACACACTTCGTTGTGTGACAATAATTCATAATTATCCCAAATAAGATTCGTTAATAGTTTGGGCTATTTTTGCTTCTAGCATTTTGACCTATAACACACCAATTTGCCTGTCACATATCCACAATTTCTTATGCTTCTTTATTGCAAATATTCTGAAATTAATTTGCAAAATACACATATTCCTCCCCTTTTTCACGCCAATCATAAGAAAATTTACAAAACAGTTGTCGTGAAACCCACATATTTGTTGTAACTTCATGGTGCAACTTTTCTAAAAGAAATAATGTGGTTGCAGGTGGATATATTTAAGCTTCAATGCTTAAACATAAATATTCTAATTGTTCATGTGCATAAGTAAACAACTTTACATGTATGCCAATGTGACGTCAATGCACTTAGAACTATCAACCTACATGGTTGATTGAGGCTTAGTGGATAATAAGAATACATTCACCAAAAATACTTCAAATAACAGGCAAGATAAATATTTACATTCAATGTTAGACATACAATTCACAATTTTATTCCACAAAAGGTTAAAGAATTACTACAGGTAAAAGAAAGGCAATATAGGTAAGGTGAGATGACCTATATAAAAAAAAATTCGGTAATCTAATGAAGAAGCTTCTATGCCTAAAGCAAAAGATAAAGATGCTCTACATGAGCTTAACCATGTTCTTCATATTGAACTTAATCTAAACTATAATATAACTCGTGTATTGTAAAATACTATCTCAAAAGAACGAATGCAAGATTACTGTCATTACTATTCGTCTCCCCCTGAGTTGAACATCAAATTCAAATACACCAAATTCCTTTCCTTCCACAAATTTTGAGTATGCATGTTCTTCATGAACATATTAATAGTACAAGTCATATATGTGCGTGCAAATGCACATGTTGACAGTAATACAACTTCTTGTGTATCAATTCTAACAACTAAACATGTTGCATCTAGGCCAAAATTGCTTCAAATACAAATGACCAATTTACTCAAAATAATTTGCATACATCCATAAAAACAATACTTCATTTGTAGATTCATTTATACGTGGAACATGGACATAACATTATCAATCAAATTAACTATAGACACTGCATAGGTACATAGTATTTTGATAGATAATTTTGGTGCAGCGCATATTAGCATATAGACTTCTTGTTTATATATTCGCAAATTCGATGACATTGTATCTACTTGGACACAATTAATATAAATTAGTTGTAGCTTATCTTCTATGATAGTCATGCACTAATAAATATCTCTAAGTCAATAATATACTCTCTTCATGATGAGTGTATACATTTATTCTATACGGAGAATATATAATTGTGCGTTCTACAAATGTGGCGACAATTAGACAAAGAGAAGATATATGAATAATTATATTACTCATTTGCCCAATAAATGTATTTGCTACATGCAACTACTTACATGATGTCCTTTTATGCAACTTTCTACCGGTTTACTTCTAGTAAATAAAGTGCACAAAACGAGTACAAAATAGTAAAGAATGGTTTTCTATACACACCTTTTATTACAATCCTAGCAATTAACATGATTTTCTGCTATTCAAAGGTATGTGTAATTTACAGAACTACTAACCCACAGAACAATTAATTACCCCAAACAAACAATTGCCAGGAAATAAACCATAAAATATGATGCTTCCAAAAAGGGTGCTAAAACAAAGGTTTCACAAGTTCATAGAAGCTCTTTTGCCTAAAAACAATGTTTCTAGGATTGATTATGGTTATTCAAGAAACTAACTAAAAAGTTAAAGCAAATACTTAGAAATACGGGACTAAGGTATAAATCCTTAATTCTTCTCTTTTTGGCGTAAACCCAATTCATGAAGGTTCAAAGTATAAATGGCGAATGTATATTCCCCATAGTTTCTAATGTCCCATAGGACTTTTCCGCATAATTTCCGAGTTCCGCATAATGCCTTGGAAACCAAGGACTTTTGAAATAAAATGCCGTTTTCGGACCAAAATCATGGTTCGTGCCCGACTCCTTTTAATAGGCCAATTTCTACTTGGCCCACCTCCTTATACTAGCTAGCTTGAAAAACTGGCCAGCCCATCTCATATGTTCCCCAATGGGCTATTACGACCTTCTCCCACAAGAAGTGGGTGAGGTATGATCCAATTGCCATTCTTCAATGGAGACGACGGATGGAACCAATGGCAAACTTGCTAGTGAGCCCTCGGTAGAGATGGACGACTATGGCAAGTTGCCATGGTTAGAGGCGGAGCGGCGGTGCAACATCTAGTAGCACCGACACCGGCATTCGTTGGCATCAGGCTGTGACCGGCGTCCGACAATCATAGCTCCATGTTACGTGTTGACGAAACTTGGCTCAGCATACAGGCCGGCATGGCGGACGGCTATCGGCGGCGGGCGCTCATGGCGGCTTTGACCCTCGTCCCGGCCACGTGCGGTAGCGCGGGAGGCATGCCGTGCGTACCGGCGGCGAGGGGAGGCGGGCGTAAGCTCCTCGGCGTCGCTACGGGTGGTGGCCGTCAATTGCGTTGCGGATGGCCTCGAAAGGACGTCGAGTCGGCGTTTCAGATGGCAGATCGACGAGGGAAAGTCTCTGGATTGATTCGGCAACCATTGACAAAGGGGAAGACGTCATGCGGTGGCGTTAGGGTGTCGGTACGTGCAGGTGGCGGCGGCGGCGGCGCATACAGGTGCCGATGACTCGGATTTGTTACCATCTACTTCATACAGATAGCAATATGACGGATTATTAACATACAAGTCACAACCAACAAGTGTCCCAAGCGCGCTTATCCATAAGATCGGCGATGACGAGTGTGTTAATATATTCATAGATCAACGACTATGCTAGCCAGATAGACCATAACTTCTAGGTAGTGTCGTGTGTTACCGAGTGTGATCAGGTGTCATCGTTCGGGACAACACTCCGTCGTTCAATTCAACAGATTATGTATGTGCACCTTCTTGTGTGCACGGTAAACGCGTTCGGGCACGTGGTGCCGAACTTCGTAGTCGGCGATATAACAAGAGAAGAGTCGGCGCAAAAGGCCGGACAAATACATCTATTCATGCGAGAAATTGAAAACAACTAGAGATATGATCTAGCTTGTTAATCTCGCTACTGCTAAGTATTAGAATAGATTAAATCGATAACTTATCTCGTTTGGCCCATGTAAAGTTAGCCGGTCTGCATATGCAATTGCATAGCGTATACCGGCAGGTTGACGATGCATGCATGTAACACACTTGTGTGTCTCATCGTTTGATGCGCATGATCGTGTTGCCATAGTGCGTGATTACCATGGCAGCACGTGGCTCCCGGTAGCCGAGGTTGATCGTCGGCGCATGCAGGAGCGGAGCGGGCGCTTGATGATCACTGGTGCCTCGCGTGGAGCTCGCCATGATGATCATCAGTCGGCAGTAGTATATGCAAACAAAGAGCAGATCAATCCGTGATTAGAAACGAGATCATATAGCTATATGGATGCATATGTATATTGGTGAATTGAATTTGGATGGATCCATGCGTGGGCATGCGCCATGTTTGTGCTTGGCATAAGCTTGCTTCGATCTGCACATGTGCACGCGCATGTGTCGTCGGCTTAGGAGCTCCGGCGCGGACGACTGCGGCGGGGCTGCTCCTCCGGCTATCGCGCGCGTGGAGTGCGACGTGCATGCGCATCACCTGGTGGGCTGCCTCGGTGCGCGGCTACTCTTGGAGGCGATCGTCTCGGCCGATGATAGACCAATGCATAAACACAGTAGATCAATCTGATTAGTAAAAAACAAATTGATCTAGCAAAAATACTTACCCGGATCAGGAACGAGCAAACTTGTGCTGATAACGTGTTGAATAACTAGTGACCTATTCACTGATCCGAATAGAAGACGACGATCTCATGCACACAATCATATAGTAGATGAACACGAATATAGGGAGGGGCATCACAGCTTTATTGCTTTAACCATATGCGAATACATCAACTAACATCTCAACCCCTCTCTCTTAGTATATATACCCATAATAGGAAGAGTCCTATTAGGATACGTTTCTATATATTTGGTATGAGCCCATATTTATCTTTGGTAGGAGATAATAGTTTCATAACACGTGTAAGCAGCATGTTACCCTGTTCAGAATGAGATCAAAAAGCAATAGATATTATTTCTAAGTTTTACTACTTCATTTCCACCGTTTGGCGTTTGGGTAGGGTTGGGATGGGATGTGCAAGTAACCCGGGTGGATTGAGTGCTAGGCGAAATTACTAAATTACCCTCGCCATTTTGACACCTCTGTCGTGCGCGAGTTATCCTGACAGAGGCCTCCTCGTCAATTTGCCCTTGCCCACCGCTGTGCCGCCGCCGCCGCCACCGCCGCCTCCGGCGATCCCCATCCATCCCGCGAGCGAGCAGGGCGCCGTCGCTCGTCCTGCTGCTTCCGCCGCATCCACCCTGGTGAGCACATCCTCCGCCACCACCCCCTGCTCCGATCCCCATCCATCGCGCAAGCGAGCGGAGCGGAGCGAGCGAGCAGGGTCGCCGTCGCTCGTCCTGCTGCTTCCGCCGCATCCGTACGCACATCCTCTTTCCCATCTCTCTCTCTCTCTCTCTACCCACGCACTTTTTCTCGAAGTGCGTTAACCCTATCTTCTGTTCTAGAAATTTGCCTTTTAACCTTAATACTAGTAACAGTTTGATGGTTCCCGAAAAGGTTTGGGGGTTCAACTGAATCCCCATGTCCCATGTTAGATCCGCTACTGTGAAAAACCAGATTGGCTGACATGAGAAAGAGGATGGGACAAAAGAATGTAAACTGTATATTGATGCTGATCATTGAATTGTCACATTATCAGCTTTGCAGCATTATATAAACTGTTCTATGAGTTTTGATCGTTTTCATGTGATGCTAAGCCACTAGACATTCGCATCCCTTGCAAATAAGTACTTTTTGTGATTTTGTACATGTTGAGAAATTAGAATTATTTTCTGTTTCTCCTGTCCTTTTATTTATTGTTCATTTTGTTATTATAATGCTGCAGCTACCAAGTAAGAGAGTAATGGACAGACCCTCTTTTGGTGTTCACAGGGCGGAGTCTTCCCATCAGCATATGATGGCAGGACCCGCTACTTTAGATCCTCAGCGGGCTGAAGCGGCAAACAAGCATGTGAGAGCACTCAATAGCCAGTTTGCTAGGTCGGTCACTTCTTCACCTTCTAGTTGCTACTAGTTTTGGATGTTGTAAACCACATCAACATTTGGATTTTGTGGTATTACTTGTGTATTTGATGTTGTCTAGTATGTGTGCTCATTCATTTTGGCAACTACCTGCACCATCAATCTCTCCTAAGCCCTAACACTGTGCTTTCTTGCAACCTGAGTTTTCTCTGAACTATGTGCTGTAACTTTGTGCTGAATACAGTTTTTGAATGTTGACGTTTCTGTTAAATTGACCTGTATCCCTTGCAGTACCACTCTGTTATTTATTCGGTGTTCAATCTGTAATAAATACTCATCTGGATGTTCCAATCTGAACAGCTGGGTACAATCACAGTTGCAAAATCATCCAGCCGAACTTTGGGAGGATGGCATGAGGGACTACATATCCCATGCTTCTGAAATAATGGTAGGTGTCACATGCCCTATAGACTTGGTATTTGGTAGTGTTTTTTTTAACCTGATGCATTCGTACAAAACTTTTAATGTACTCTTTTGTGCACTGCACAATTTGAGATATAATACTGACGGAATGTATCTCACCATCTTTCTTTTATGCACATTTTGAAGCTGTAACTAGCAGGTAGTTATCAAAAGTGTTTACTGGCAAACAGCTATACAAACTAGAATCATGTATACTGTTATGAATAATTGAGTATCTAACTTATATTTATTAAGTTACTGTAGGGTTAATTATTTGTTTTTTTTTGGTTGCTGTACACCGGAAAAAGAACTCAAGAAATGAAATTATACTAATACAAAACCACTCATTATCTTCTCAGTTGTGTAAACCCATAAACATATGCACAGGGCAGTATCTGAATTATAACAGTTCTTCCTAAGACTGGGTTCTGTTTGGGAACACAATATTGATCCAAATGCTTTTAGAACTGTGACTTTTTTCTCTGATCTTGACTTGTAGAATTGACTGCTATTTATTCAGCAAACCTTTTTGTATTGCTTAGGTAGTCTATTAGCACTGCAGTTGTTCCATCAGCAGTCTACTACCTTTTCTCTAATCTTAGGCGTCCTGCTATTGCTTGCTCTCATTAGGAAAAATTCAAGGATGTTGTCAATTGGATTAGGCAAAATAAAACAGGTTCAGCAGTGGTGTTGTCCCCAGGTCCACCCAATGATGAGAAGACTATTTCGCCGGCAGCTGTAGACAGCAAGTTTACGGTTCAATCAAGCCCAGATAATGGGCAGAAAGGTCCAGTTACAGCAGCTAGCTCCCCAGCATTTCAGAATTCAAGTTCACCGAACTTGTTTTCGTTCGCTTCTCATCAAAAAACGCCAGCCTTTACTGGTATGGTTACTCACCAGTTCATATCCATACTATGTTTACATTTGCTCCATTTTTTATGTATTTATGCTAGTTGTGTCATAATGATATCTAGGCATTTTTGGTGACAAGAAAAACATGCCTGGTGATAGCAACAAACCGAGTTTCCAGTTTGGTGCAAATAATGGCTTTTCAACACCAAGCATGCCATCCATTTTTTCTGCTTCGGGTGCCCAGAGTTTTAGCATGCCATCCCAGACACTGTTTTCAGTTAACCAACAGCCAGCTATCTCAGGTACTTTTCTTATTTTGCTGGCTTCATTGTGTTGGTTCTTCCACAGATGGAAGGAGTAATAAAACACGTGTTTTTTTTTATAATGTCTGTACATAGTAAAGTTGGCCATTCTTTCTTTCTATGGTCCCTGATTTAAATACCCCCCCCCCCAAACAATGTTTTTAAATATATGAAACTGTTGACTTTTGGACATGACGTCTAACCATTCAAATTCAACAATGTAGGGAAATATGCAAAAAAAAAGAAGAGTCATACTTAAAGTAACTTTAATGATAAAACAAGTAAAACAAAATAAGTGATACTTACATTTGTTTCTCTCTCTTTTTTTTTTGAATAAGAGGAATTATCTAATGTGAGTATTGGCTTATTTCCATTTAGTAACTGTAATGAAAATTAATACATGCAAGTGCTGATATTACCTTGATATCCTATGGCCTAAAAGTTATTTATATGCTCTCATAGTTGATCCGATGTCAAGTTAAAACCTTTTTTTGTAGTGCAGTAAATATTTCAAGTCCCATTCATGCAATTCAGAATAAAGCAAATTGTTTTTGGCTTGAGAATTTTCATATGAATTTACCAACACAATTTCTCTTATCCTGCAACTAACACCTGTAATTCTGATGATAAAGGCGCTAATTTCTCCTATGGAGAGCGCCTTGTTACTCTAATGTAGAAAATAGACATATATGCCTCTATGGTTCTACCTGTTTGGAACATTAAGCTGTTATTGTTAATTTTTCAGGAAATAAAAGTGCAGCTGAAGCTTCAGGTGATGCAGATGAAGGTGAGTATCTGACTTAGTTTAGCAATAATAAATTAGATAACGCCAGTTAATAAAAATTCCAATTTACCTGACCCTTCCATGTTTGGGATGTTACTTTTGGGTATGAGATAATATTTCCTCGGTTTCTCTATGCAACCCAGTTTATTCATAGTTCTTATGTTTGATCAGATGCTGAACCTGAACAACCTAGCAGCCCTTCTGTAAAGAAGGCAGAAGAGAAAGGAATCGTTGTTGTTTATGAAGCCAAATGCAAGGTGTATGTTAAGGTATTAGAGCTTTCCTATGTATTATTATTTTTTCTTTTCTTTCTATAATTATAACTTGTGTTTTGGGAGCCAGTTCTACTATTTAATTACTCGCAAAAAATGCTTGTACTTCACGCTTCTTTTTCCATTTGTAGCATGATGATCCTGCCAATGGTTGGAAAGATATTGGTGTTGGCCAGCTCAACATTAGGTGTAAAGAGGGTGCCGAGAAAGCTTCCAAAGAGTCCACTCCAACTATTGTTATTAGAAACGATGTATGTACACCTCCTTTCTTATATACATGTAACCAAGTCCATTTGTCTTCAGTTTTGTGATGGCAATATTAATTATTTATATGTTCATTGTGCATCAAACTTGACATCCATTTGCTATCTTTGTTATATATAACCATGTTCCACTCCCATAGTTGTTTCTAGCTTTTCTGCTCCTATGAAACCAGCCAAGTTCATTTTCTTAAATTCTCACATAGTACGACCTGTCATTTTATTTTATTTGTTTTCTGATTTTTTTTCTTTTGGCTGTCAAAAGTAGTGAGATCAACCCACCCTGCTCCCTCTGTTCTTGGCATATATAGGCTGCTGTAAGGTTGTAAAATAGTTTTCTGAATGCAGGTGGGCAAAATTCTTCTGAATGCTCTGATCTATAAGGGGATAAAGATGAATGTTAAAAAGAGCACGGTTGCTTCGATATTCCATACCTCAGTAAGTAACCACTGCCTTCTACCCTCACTACACACTTACACACATCAAAAGAAAATAACCCACACCCCAAAAAAAAAAGAATGGAAGATCTGGGCAGCGGTATGTTCTTTTATAACAACATGCTAGAGTGGTGCACATTGAAACATAACGTGTGGTGCTCTAATTCAAATATTTGTATCAAAGAGTTTGTTATATTTGACTTGCTGGTCTTTTGGTGCTTAGAAGAAACTCCATACATCTGTACTAGAGTAGGTTAATACATGCTGATTTATTTTGTGACTTGTGAGTTAGCATTGTTAGAAGCAGAGATACAACTGGATCAAATTTACCCAGGTTTCTTGTTCCCTAGTGTATGAACTCGGAAACAGTTAAATCGAAGTTAGCATAAACTTGGATCTATATTTTACATTCTGTGCATATTACACTGCTTCAAATTATACTTAACCTGTCACGTGTGTTATGCATATAGCTCAGGGAGTGTGACACTTATTCATTCTATAATTTCTCAGGATGGACAGCCAAGTGAATCTGGCAGTGCTACAGTTGTAGCTCGAACATACTTGATCAGGGTGAAAAATGATGAGGCGGCTGCAAAGTTGTCAGCAGCAATTATGGAGAATGCGCCATTGGAATGATTCTTCTATGGGTTAAAGCACTTTAAACCGTGAGTAATGCAGTGCTTGGGGACACTTGTAGCCAACTTAAACTGCGGCGAGCCAAAAGATGCCTTGCACAGTTTTTTGCCCTCCCAATTGCAGAGCAAAGTGCACGGAGAAAAAAAAATCCGTGTTGCTCTTGCTCGTGAGCTGGCCAGCCATGTACTATTATTTATCGGCCATGTAGTAAGGTCACCTTTAGTTATGGCACAAATCAGATGGTTGAACACCTGCGGGCTGCTAGCCTTGCTAGTCTTCAGACTTTGTGCAATCGATGTACTACTATGTGCAAACACATTCTCCTGTGTAAAACATCGCCGTATGCCGTTAAATTTTTGTAACATTTGTTAAATTCATTTCTATCTTTTGACTCTTCCTACAGGAGATGTAGGATGTTTCACGAATATGAAATTTGAAATTGCGTTCCACGTGTGCTCCGAAGAGGCAAAGATAGTACCGTAACACAAGTGTAGCACTCCCACGGTTCCCGAATTCCGAATATAAGCATTTCTTCCCAGATATCATTTCTTGAATTCAAATTTAATATATACAATATATGTATCTCTAGGATACTTATTCCATGCATGGAATCTAAGATTTTTCACCCAATTCCTAAGCAAATCAAAATTTAACCAATAAGTGACTTTGTTTAGAACAACCAATAAGTGACTGTGGATGTGGATATTTCCTCATAACCTTCATATTTAGGAACGAAAAAAAGTTAAATATTAAAAGGTTGAAAGAAAATAGATTTTGCAAAGTGTTATAAGAAACTTATGTATAGAAAGCTTTCTTCAATGAATCACATCGTTTAGTAGCTTAAAAAACGTACCCACAAATCCAAGTATCTAAGTAGCTGAAAATAAAAGGTCTTAAATGTTTTTAGCATAAATATAAGGTTGAGTGATTCCTTAAGATGAAGAAATAAGATATAAAGAAATGCTTTTAGTGTGGTACAATTACAAATTTCAGTCTAAAACACATATAGTGGAGTTATATATATTTTCAAACGGACGGAGGGAGCTACTAGTAGTACTACTATACAGCCAGTCAACCAGACACGATAACACCTCCACCGCTGCCGCCACAATACAATAATCGTACGACCGAGTACGGTGCCGTGCACATCTCTCTACCTTAACTTATCCCGTATCTTTATTTATACTACTGTACTTCACTCCGCTCCAGTATTGTAGCCGCCGTTGCCGGAAGGATGCTCATCTCAGCCGGCCCGTTCGTACATCCGTACTTAGCTTACTCCTCCTGCGTCATTAATCCGTCCCAAAATATATGGCGATTTCTACTTTGTCAACTCTCTGCTCAGCTCAGCAACACAGTACCTTACGTCCCAATTAATAGCACAATGTGTTTAATTAACGATCTACTAGCAGATGAAATATCAAAGCAAGATTAATTGAAGTCAACTTCTCAGCATGCATCTCTCTCATTGTCAGTAAGTAGCACTTAGCACTTAATTAGCAGCAGCAGCAGCGGCGGCATGAATTCGCTTGCCTGCCTCATGGCGTCACCGAAAGATCACCAGTTGCCCCAGCTCCCAAGCCCTATGCCCCTATATAATGGGAAGCACACCAACACCACCAAAGCTCAAGCAAGCAGCGCGCCTGAGTACGTAGCAAAATCCAGTGTGGTGTACGAACGAAAATGGCGACGCCGCGGACACTGGTGCCCATTCTGCCGCCCGTCGCGGCGCTCCTCCTCCTCCTCGTCGCCGCCTCCTCCATCCCCATCCTCGCCGCCGCGCAGCCGGCGGACGCGTGCGGCGGCGCACCGGATCAGGCGGCGGCGGACGGCGCGTGCCACGACGTGCCGAGGGCGCTGCGGCTGAAGCTGATCGCCATCCCGACCATCCTCGTGTCGAGCGTCGTCGGCGTGTGCCTGCCGCTCCTCTCCCGCTCCGTGCCGGCGCTCCGCCCCGACGGCGGCCTCTTCGCCGTCGTCAAGGCGTTCGCGTCGGGCGTCATCCTCGCCACGGGCTACATGCACGTGCTCCCGGACGCCTTCAACAACCTCACCTCGCCGTGCCTGCCCAGGAAGCCGTGGTCGGAGTTCCCGTTCGCGGCGTTCGTCGCCATGCTCGCCGCCGTGTCCACGCTCATGGCCGACTCGCTCATGCTCACCTACTACAACCGCAGCAAGCCCCGGCCGTCTAGCGGCGGCGACGTCGCCGCCGTCGCCGACCACGGCGAGAGCCCCGACCAGGGCCACCGGCACGGACACGGACACGGCCATGGGCATGGCATGGCGGTGGCCAAGCCCGACGACGTCGAGGCCACTCAGGTGCAGCTGCGCCGGAACCGCGTCGTCGTTCAGGTAACGTGTCTCATGCGTTGCAGCTCACTAGCAAAGCTGTAACCTCACATCACACACCCAACTGCGTAATTAATTAAGGCTGCGTTCTAACCTCAAGGTTCCCAACCTTTCTCTCTCGTTTTCCGCGCGCACGCTTTTCAAACTGCTAAACGGTACGTTTTTTTTTAAAAAGTTTCTTTACAAAAGTTGCTTAAAAAAATTAAATTAATCCATTTTTTTAAAAAATAGCTAATACTTAATTAATCGCACGCTAATAGACTGCTCCGTTTTTCGTGCGGAAGGGTTGGGTCCCAACCCATTCTATCACACGCAGCCTTAAGAACGCAGTTGAATATGGCAATTCCAACTTTTTAACCACTAGTTATTCTTAAATAATTATTGAACTACCATAAACGAAATCATGTTTAAATTTACGGTGCAATATGCTGTGATAGCATGGTCCATAATCTTTTTAGTATTTGCAAAAAAGAAATTAAAAAAACAGACGACAAAATGAATAGTGCCCACTTATTAAAAAACAGGAGTAATCGAGTGATAATTAATTGAGTTTGTTTGATCTCTACTACTTCCAGTCTATAATTCTTACATTTTGGACATTGGCACATTCTTTAAAATATATCTTTGATTACATTTTTTCTATTATAATATATGTAATAAATAAACATATTTTTATCTTTTTTCTTATAATACCTTGTAAGACAAATCTATACATGTTGTTTTAATGTCTTTAAACTAAATATTTTAAAGTTAATGATAATCAAAGTGATAAAAGTTTAATCTTAACGTACACTAAAAATCACCCTCAATGTGTAATATCCTCTTAGGTCATAAGGTGGGTCCAGTCATTAGATAAAATTGTTGCTACAATGTATATGGAAGAGGAGGCATTAGCTAGGTCCCACTCAATCAAAATCCATGTTGGGGGGAGAGGGAAGAGGAGAGAGAAATTATACTCCCTCCGTCTCTAAATATTTGACGTCGTTGACTTTTTTAAACATGTTTGACCGTTTGTCTTATTCCAAAAATTTAAGTAATTATTAATTCTTTTCCAACCATTTGATTCATTCTTAAATATACTACTACTACTACTTCTCAAGTTTTTGAATAATATTCACGAAAGTTTTTTAATAAGACGAACGGTTAAACATGTTTAAAAAAGTCAACGGCGTTAAATACTCCCTCCGTACTCGTAAAGGAAGTCGTTTAGGACAGCGACACGGTCTCCAAAACACAAATTTGACTTCTTATTTCTATAAAAATATTTATTAAAAAGTGATATATGTATACTTTTATAAAAGTATTTTTCAAGACCAATCTATTCATATAATTTTTACATTTTCAAACGGGAGAATAGCTAATATAGTCCCTCAAGTTTCATCGAAGGCTCAATTTAGTCCTTCACGTTTTATTTTGTCCACATAGTATTTGTTTTGGCTTGAAATCATCCTTGGGCCCACTTAATATGCCATATGGCTATTTCTAGTCAATATTTCTATTAGAAAATGTCCCTTTTGCCCTTAATTTGTATACAACTATAACTAGAAAAGAGAAAACCAAGATGAATAAAATAAATTGCAGATGTACTTTCGGCCTATTATTTTAACATGTGCACATGAAACTTAAGCAATTGCTATTGTATACACTTTGCTAGTATATAATTTATTTTTATTTTATACAATTTACTATGCATTATCTATAAAAAAAATCAAGCATGCAATTTTTTCTCTTATATATGTGAATGATGGGGGGGTATAAGTGTCATTTATGAAGAGAGTTGTTAGTTCAAGGATAAGTTTGAACTAAAATGAAAACTTGAAGGACTAATATGGATAGATTGAAACATCAAGGACTAAACTGAGCCTCAGATGAAACTTGGAGGACCACTTTAACTATTTACCCTTTTCAAACTCAATAACTTAAAAGTTATTTATGATTTATATTCCCAAGGTTTGACTTAAACATTATCATAAACGACTTTCTTTACGAGTACGGAGGAAGTATCTAGGGACGGAGGGAGTATATTGTTTTTTTTTTATATGGGTAGCTCAACATCTCGACATAAAGACCACTTGTCTTGTAGTATATCGTACCTCCTCAGTCAAGTTAGGTAAATCAAGAATTCCAAAGCAAGAGGGATCTATAGTCGTTAGCCTAATCTCAAGGACGCTTCCGTACGGTTCGTAAAGAAAATCTTCGAGATAGTAGGTTAGTAGTCATGTTCAGTGAACTCATAGAGTCGAGTTAATTGACAAACTAGAAGGTGCCCGTAGCTTTAAATTATGTGGAACCTGCAGGAGATAACCACTCCATATTGACTCGATGTTTTTTATTCATGAAAATGACACGAGCGGACTAGCTTGTCATGAAAAGTTTCAACAACAGTCACTTTTGTAGTTTCACTGTACTGTAACATGTTACGGCTGGCCATCAAGATGAATTAGTCATCGGAACTTCTTAATTAGTTCGAGAAAATATTGTAATGTTGAAAGGGAACAAATTACGTTAGGTTTTGCTCTTAGGCTGAGTTTGAAAAGAGAGGTAGGGAGATTAAGCTTTTTCTTGAATAAAAGATGAAAGTCGTTAGCATACAATTAATTAATTAAGTATTAGCTATTGTGAACTTGGAAAATATTTTTATTTTTATTTGATTTTAAAATAAGTTTCTATATAAAAGTTTTTTTAGAAAAATATAGTACAATTTAATAATTTAGGAAACATGCTATCGTTAAAGATGGAGTAGCTCACTTCAACTGTTCAGTTGTTCAGAACTCAGGCTTAGATATTACTCCCTCCATCCCAAATTGATCATTATAGTATATGTTTATACACCAAGACTAAGGATAATTTGAATCGCATTAATCAAGACACCATGCACACATTATCTCACAATGCATGCATCGATTAAAACACCATGCCAATTATACCCTTAGCATACACACATTCTCCCTTGCTACATTAATTGTATTCCGATAAAATCCGTATCCGTACGGTTATATGATGATCAATTTGAGAAATTTTAGATTTTGTTGTATGATGATCAATTTGGAACGGATGGAGTACTACTTATCTATGATACGCCATTGTAATTCATGCCCATTTAAAAAATAAATTTAATAAATAGGTTAAACAAGTGGTATAAATCATGTCTCAGAATTTATTTTAAGAAAGCATATTTTAAAGTGTAGAACAAATAATCATCTAGCTGGCTTTCGGGCTTTGGTGAGTCGTCCGAGATCCTTTCGATGAGATATCTATATGATCCGTTCAGGAAAATGAATATCTCCAGAAAATATTTTTAGTTCCGTATGGCTTTTTTTTCTCTTCACTCGAACCAATCCACCTAGATTTTAATAATACGATGAATAATCTGAAAAGAATATGACCTCAATCACAAAATATTAAATTGAGGTCCTGTAATTTTCCATGTATTTCAGTAGAAAGTATTCAAACTAACTGGGAGATGTTTTTAATACAAATCATCTTTCATATCCTACACAAAATATTTCTATGCTAAGCAATTTCTCTCTCATATAACACATAAAAATAACTTTTAAAATATATAAATAACAAAACAAAACTTGAAGCTTATATAAAAACGTTCATGTTGTGTAAGAACAAAACATACAAAAATCCATATTAAACTTTTAATGAAATAAATCAATTATTAACCTTGTAATTTTGGGTATTTTTAAAACAAGACCTAAACTAATAATATAATGTAGAGCAATCGATGAACTCGTCGGTATATTATAAAAAGAAGCAATATCAATGATAAATCGTTAAACTAGGACATATATAGTAGATTATCTCTTGGAATAAAAGATTGAGAATCATACGAAATTTGTTTGGAACAATATATTCAATGAGATTTTGGAGAAAAGTTAATATGAGGTTGAATCTCTCCGAAGATTTTCTTGGACTCACTCACTCACTCTCATTCAATTCTTGTATTTTTCTGTAGCCTATCCAAATTATTATTACTGTATTTTTTTAGTGTGTGTTTTGCATAAGTATCCTACCAAAATCTTGTACGTTTCCTTTTATATGCTTTAAAACTCCTATATTTCAAAGGAAGACATATTGTTGGCAAATAGCAAGCGGACATAAACCAGATATCTTCTTTTCTCCTTTAAATTATATGTAGTTTCACAAGCAAAATAAGTGATGTTTTATACTTAATTTACAGCCAGCTTCTTGTCGAGTACTAGTTGTAAAGTACTCTCGATTAAGATAACTTTGAGGCTAATTAGTCATTAGATTTTTTTGAAACAATATGGTCGGTCAAACTACAACTATGCAACTTAAAAGCGAAAAACCAAAAAATATACTGACCAGATTTGCACGGCTTCATATGCTGCAGGTCCTCGAGATAGGCATCGTGGTGCACTCGGTGGTGATCGGCCTCGGCATGGGGGCGTCGCAGAACGTGTGCACCATCCGGCCGCTGGTGGCGGCGATGTGCTTCCACCAGATGTTCGAGGGGATGGGCCTCGGCGGCTGCATCCTGCAGGCGGAGTACGGCCGCCGGATGAGGTCGGTGCTCGTCTTCTTCTTCTCCACCACGACGCCGTTCGGCATCGCCCTCGGCCTCGCCCTGACCAGGGTGTACAGGGACAACAGCCCGACGGCGCTCATCGTCGTCGGCCTCCTCAACGCCGCCTCCGCGGGGCTGCTCCACTACATGGCGCTGGTGGAGCTCCTCGCCGCCGACTTCATGGGGCCCAAGCTGCAGGGCAACGTCCGCCTCCAGCTCGCCGCCTTCCTCGCCGTCCTCCTCGGCGCCGGCGGCATGTCCGTCATGGCCAAGTGGGCGTGAGCTGACGATGCATCACACTCTGCGGCATCATGCAATTCGCTGCATTGTTAGATTGAGCTTGGTCAGACTCGATCATCAGCTGCAGACATGTTGTACAGTGACTGTGACTTCTCCATGTTGTACTGTAATTCAGGTTTTCAGTGTTGTAGCGTGGTTGTTCAGGTTTTGTTCTTCGTGACTGATGATGTACTTCAATACGAGCATCTACATATTTTCATGATTATTACATTATCAAGCCAAAGAACTATGGTAAGATGGCAAATTTCACACAATATGACAATGTCAACAGGAATGGATGAAAATATGGAATCATGAAAAATTTCACACAACCTATCATGCTCAGTAAAAAAAAGTATAAGCAGTCTTCCCTAGAAGAAAGAAAGATGGTATGCTGCAATTTAAAATCACAAAACAAGGAGCCAGGATTACCTCAAGTATTTGAGCCGAACCAGCACCAGACACAATTTATGTCCACTAGCAACCAAGAAATACAACTTCCCATCAATGCTTAGATCATAGTACAGTACTCGCCTTCCATCAACCATAGAAGCCACCCTTCTCGAGAAAGAAATTTCACCATTTTCACTACATTCATTCACATCTCCATCATTCCATGACCATTTCCAGTTTCCTTGATTCCTTCTAAAAATTCTATGTCCATGCCCAGAAAACAAATCCCATGTGAAATATCAGATTCATCGCCACTGCCACTATCATTCCCATCATTGTTTACACTTTCAGAATCCTCAGTATCTGATCCAGAATATTCCTGTCCTTTAACCAGAAGAATAAATCAGAGATGATATGCAACGCACAATATTTTCAAATAATGTAATGTCACGACATCAGTCAATGTGCTTCTGATGTGCCAGAGATATTAATATCAAGGCAAAATTAATATGAAAAAAATGTATATTGCTTTGAGCCGATATACAAGTATTTTTTTATTAACAACTATGCACCCGGAATTATTTACAATGTGAACGCATTGTTGAACAACTTTCACCAAGTCTGGGGGCGGGAAACGGTGGGGATATCAACAATCTGAATAAAGAACGATCAAGGAAATGCTATGAAGATAACCCAAGTTAAAAAGAACGCTACCCATTATCAATCGCAGTATTTATATCAGTACCTCTGGTGATGTCGCAAGTTTTGGTGATGAAACAAAAAATATATCATTTCTAACATACCTGAATTACTTAAAGACCATGAGTATCTAGAGCTACAGCATACATACAAATATCAGTACCTGGTAGTCTGGCACCTGTAATTATGCAAAAACTGACCTACAAATGCTATAAATATCTTGTTAAAGAAACCCCAATTCAGCATATGATGTCTTGAACCAAATCCAGAAGCAACCAGAACTTGTTGTATTGTTCCAAGTAAGAGAATTCTAGGATTTGGTCCAAAATATCACATTAAATTCCTGTTCCATAATCTGAAAGAGAAACATCTTCAACAAGAAATGCAGGGTCACAAGGTTAGTAGTGGCTCTTAAGATTATAGATCGATTATTCAGGTTATTTCAGACACCATCTTTCAAAGGATTGCCTGCTAAAGTTTTCACTGCTCTATATCAATGAACTGTTTTTAGTACGATATATCCAATGAAAGAATCAGCTATAGAAAAACACTATTATGTATTCCTGGACAATCAATGGTTTATTTACCTCACATCACATCCGTAATATAGAAAAATCAAGCCAAATTACAGAACATGTGGGAAGCACAGCACAATTCAGGCGTGCTCTGTTAATACTAAGATGTACCTGTTGCACAATGTATTCAATTGGCTATCGATATTTTGAATTAAGATGCATACTACAAGCTAATAGCTTAGAACTACTGGAAAGTAATCAGATTCTTCCTAAGAAAAAATTATTAGCCCATACCGATCTTCATTGTGCATCAAGAAAATCATCAACTCTATACTCAAGAGAACACTGGAATGGGACAATAACAATGAATATTAACCACTGATGATGTCATTCAACGAATAATTCAGCACTTCAATAATTGATATTAAGTTTTTGGTCCAGAATTGTATCAGAAACTATCAATTTACATATCCAGACAAGCAATAAAATGAAGTTCCCATTAATGTGTCATACAGAATAACAATCAAACCTCAAAGGACACAATCTGCCTGAATAATTGAACTTGCATCATCCACTGCATGCAAATGACTCATGATCGAGCTAACCTGAGTATCGACCAAAATATGCATTAAGTCAGCAACATTGCCATTTGTCTTTCTCGCATTTAAATTACTCTGATTATGCTTTCAATAAATCATTTGAGTCGGAGCATGTTCGGCCGATTAGAGATGCAAATCGATCATGAAATTTCAACAGAGGGCACTTCTCAACAAGGTTGCTGTCATCATAGGCCTCCTTGAGGAATACAGTGCTTCTTGCTCCCTTATTAGTGATGTAGAATATCCCATGATTCTTTATTAAACACAGAAGAAGCTTACATGGCAGCCTGTACTCATTATGGAAGATTTCTAGCTTATCAGATGTCAACCGTCTGTTCATTGTCAGGCTCAAGATCTCATGCAGAACAGCAACAGCCCGCTTCCGAGCCTGAGGGGTTGCAGGCTCCACACGTCTAGCATTCAGATATGGTGAAGGAAATGCCAACTTCTGCCATCTGACAACCTCCTCAAGATAATTCCTGTTTGGCCTAAATCCTGCTGGATACTTCAACCTGAAAGCAAAGGGGCCAACAATATTTCCATCTTTAGGGATCCCTCTATAGTCCATTTGGAAGCCCTCAAAATTCAACTTTTCTTCACGTGCTGTGACTGCCAATGAAGAATCCCAACTCTCCAAACACAAATGGTCCAATCCCTTCACATCCCTAACTGAAAATAATTCAGGGTACTTAGGAATCAAATTATTCTTGAAGTTGTTAGGTAAACCCAATTCAGATTGGATGAGCTCAATCTTCTCTAGAGGAATCTGGCAGTCCAAAGACATCATTAGCAGTTTCCTTAGATTTTTCACCAAGATAGGCTCCATTAGCTCTCGTGCTTGGATCTCCTCACTGGATATCTTTCTTGCCTTCTCAGTGAGTGTAACTGAAATGGGCTCACGGGAGGCACTACCACCAGAGACATGAAAGATGTTTGGGTGCCGTTCGATGAGTGAAAGGAAGTTCCATTTTTGGACAAAGCCAACCTCCTTTTCAAGATCACGTACAAGGATGGAACTTGTCTTTTGGGACAAGATGATCTCACGAAGACGAAGAAGGAGGGCAGGCTTCTTCTGGAGGTCCATGGCCTTGTCAAGTCCAGGTTCACGGTGATAAAGCTTCTTCTTGGGCCTGCGGCCATGACCAGCAGAATATGAGGACATGGCCTTGAGCTGAATCAAAGGAAGAGCTCTGTCTATCAAAGATACATGCTCTACCAATCTTCTTTTCATCATTTAGAGTCAAGGCCAGTCTATGTGCGCATCATAGGTCCAAGTATCCAGGAGTGGAAATACTGAAGCACAAAGACTAATCCATCAAACTCTGAAAAAAAAGAACGTCAGAATTATATCCTTGCCATTTACAAAAGACTGCTACTTTCAGGCAACTGAAAAAAGGAGAAAAATTCAGTCACATTTTAATGGTTAAGATCGATGCAAAGATTGTGCAAAGTATCCAAACAGACCACCCCATCTCATATTTGTCACACTCAGATAAGAAGGTGAAGGTCAATTGCTCAAATGCTGAAAACCTTGTAAGCAGAAACCGAGAGCAACAGTTCAGGATAGCCTAATCATCAGCTTATATGGTTGGTGTTTCTGGAACAAAGAGCGCTGCAAAAGTCAAATTTCATTTCAACCATGATCAAATCGTAAGTTATACCCCTACCCCCAAATCGATGCCCCATGCTTCAAACCTGTTTGGTTATCTCGGTTATACTACTTCACTTGCACGGTTGCATCTATCCTGCCAAAAAATTGTGAAATCTAGATTGGCTACCAATGAGCTGCACTAGAAATAATAGAAATGCGGACCTCTATATCACGAGAAATAAATCAAACACCGATGAAAAGCGAATCACATTTTGCTATACGTTTCTCTGTTTGTTACAACAAACCAAAGCAATTAGTAAATTGATTCTCCCCTTCAAACCATATTGGTAGCCGAACTAGCCGGATCAGAGGAGGCAGGAGGGCGCACCTGTGAAGGAGCCACGGCGCGGGCGCGGGCACGGGACGGGCCGCTGCGGCTTGACGGATGCTCGGTTAACCAGCGGCCGCAGGGGGAGAGGATACGCGGAGGCCGGCGAGGCCAGAACCCCTAGTACGAGCGAGGGGGAGCTCGTCGTCCACCGGCGGCGGTTGCGGACGACGGACGGCGGACGCGACGGCGTGGGTGCCGGCCAAGGGTTGCCTCCCACACGGCAGAGAGATGTGAAGAGGAGAGTTAGATGGGCTTTCGATTTTGGGCCCTTAGCAGGTAGTAAAAAGTCCACTATGTTTCCCTGAAACAGCAAAATTGCCTACCACGACCCCCACCAACCACTAAAATCGGTATAAAATAACTCCTAAAACAGTGAGGGCTGCTACAAAACGGGATCCCGTTGTAACGGGATAGATATATTAACTATTCTCTTGCACGAGTATCATAGGTATCAGGTCCCAAGTATCACAGGTACCGAGTAACAGGGTATCGGGTACCATGCAGCTAGTATCATAACAGGTATCAGGTATCAAGTACTGTCTCATAGAAAGGTATCCCGTTTCAACGGGATACCGTTGTCTAGTTTTTCTAAAACAGTATTGAGGGAGGTATTAGTTGATGCGTCACATTGACCATGGTGAAACTGTTGGAGTCAGTTAACAAGTTGTAAATGTGAAGCCTACATGATATCCTTACTATCCCTCTCTTCGTCTTTTCTCCCCCCCCCCCCCCCTCTTCTCGTTAGCTTGAGCTCCCGAAGGCAGTCACTACGGCTAGTAAATCTCGATAGAAGCCTCTGCAGAACACGAGGAGCTAGTGCACGATGGGATCATTGTCCAACCTTGCCGCCGCCTCCTCCATGTCTGCCATCCGGGAGTCCCTCATCTCCGCTTTCCTCTGCAGTTATTGGCTTTTAGCTCGTTGTCCAAAGTCGACATGATGGTAGGGGTGATCTTTGGACAAATGGCTAAGGACATTGGTCAAAAAGGAGTGAGAACTTTTTGCTTCATCTCGACGCAATTAGAGAACTCGAGCTCGCCCGGCAATTAGCTTCACAGTATACACCACCTTTGTCGTCGTCCTCTCCATCTCAAACTATTCCAGCAAGGATGCAAGTGATGTGCTCCAGGCAACGATGGAGTCGAGGAAAGTGACAACAGCGATGAAGTTCTCGGCTGATGGCGCATCCAGAGCTCAGGCATGCCAGGTGACGCCCGATCAACTACAGACCATACTAGGAGGCGTTGGCGATAGGGACAGAGGTTGATCAACCACCCTCCACTCGTGTTTCCCCTGCTGCCACCAGCTTGTAGCCTGATGACTTACTCCTCCTCAGCCCCTCACATCTCTTTCTTCCTCCTCTTCCCCCCTCTCCTGCGATGTACGACAAGGCTGGTGAGCTAGATGTTTGAATTGAGCTAGAGGCAACGGCTTAAGGCCTAGCGGAGTGTGACGGGGTTGATGTTGTCGCAGACGAGGCAAAAAGGCAAGGCAATGCAGAGAGGAGGACGCCTTCCGCGAGCTCGATTGACGAATCCATTGGGGAGGGAGTGAGTGGTCCCCACGGCCGCAGCCGGTGGGTGACAAGGAGAAAGCATGGGAGGCAGGAAGGAAAAAAGATGGGTAGCAGGTCGACATCGTGGTTGGGAAAAGATTAAGGCTCCCATCGGATGGCCTAATCAGCCAAAGAAAAAGCCAAAATTTGAATTTTCAAACTTAATTTGAGATTGATTTTGAGATATTTTCAACGTAGTTTCTTTTACAACATTGGCTTTTAAGTCACCAAGAACACATTTATAAAAGTTTCATCTATAAATTCATTTTTATTTCGGCTTATTAGGAAATAAGCCAAATGATGGGGACCTAAAAGAAATAGCGCTGACATGTGGGTCCTACATCTTTTTTTTTTAGTTTTTTAGTGACTAGGCTGCCACATGTACCTATATTGGAGTGTTTTTCACCGGTGTTAACAATTGAGGAAGTCATTTTACCCGGTTTATAATTAAGGATATGAATTAGATCTTATCAATCTTAGAAAGTTAAAGTGGACTCTTTTCCATATTTGAATTAGATGGGCTGCTTGTTGGCCCGTCCCATCCTTAATTATCCTTGATTTTTTGATGGCATTTTTGGTCTTCCAAGTTCCAACTCTTCCTCTCACGAGAGAGAGAGGTCCACCAACTCTATTAACCCAAGCACACCATATTCGTGCTTCACCTCCTGTAACCGGAAGTAAGGGCCTCTTTAGTTCGTGAAAAGAAAAATTTTGCGTATCACACCGGATGTCGAAAAGGGTTTTCGGACACGAATGAAAAAACTAATTTTATAACTCGTTTGGAAACCGCGAGATGAATGTGGATTACTATAGCACTTATAGCTAATCATAGACTAATTAGGCTTAAAAGATTCGTCTCACGATTTTCCCCTAACTGTGTAATTAGTTTTTTAATCTATATTTATTGCTACATGCATGTGTCCAAAGATTTGATGTGATATTTTTTAAAAAAAAAATGGTAACTAAACCAGGCCTAATTAGAAAGTTGTGTGTAGAATCTCCCACGGAATGACAGAACTTATAATCTCCGCCGGAATCATACAAAAGATAGGCCCTGTGTTTTTTCAAGGACCAAAACACACAACTAATATACCGTGTGCTAGCAATCATCATATAATTTATTTGAGGAATACAGCTTGAGTAATACGTACGGACAAATTACAAACAGTTGACTTGTACTACATATGAGTATATTAATTACTACACCTAAGTGGCTACTCATATGTAGTAATGATATAAGCAAGCTATACATGTATACATGTATAAGTAAATTAATTACTACACCTAAGTCTTAAATAGAACGAGTATATTAAAATGATATAAGCAAGCTATACATGTGACCGCATCATATATTTATACTTATGTGGAGAAGAGAGAAGAGAAGTGAAAGAAAAAGACTACAACACGAACTCCAAAACTGCAAAACATATGTGAGAGGGAAATGTGAGGAAAATATTAATGATGTACTCCCTCCGTTTTATAATGTAAGATTTTCCAGCATTGCCCACATTCACATAGAAGTTAATGAATCTAGACATATGAATGTGGGCAATGCTGGAAAGTCTTACATTGTGAATGTCTAGATTCATTAACTTCTATGTGAATGTGGGCAATGCTGGAAAGTCTTACATTATGAAACGGAGGGAGTACATCATTAATATTTTCCTCACATTTCCCTTTCACATATGTGAATATGGATAATGCTGGAAAGTCTTACATTGTGAAACGGAAGAAGTAGTATGTATCTATTATTAACTATTGTATTAGTAGGTTATTAAGTTAGTTATAGATGATGTATTATTAATTTTTAAAGCTACTATATTATTAAATTATTAAACTTGCTCTTAGAGTGCCTTGAAAAAAAGGGGCACGCATGCACCGATGCACAACAATGGGGGTGCAAAATATATAAGTCGCCACTCTTATCCGAGCAATATGACATGAGCAACAAAAAAAAAAAAAAAGAGGCAAAAGATAATCGCAAGTAGCCCTCTTCTTGTTAACCCGTCGGCCAGCATGCATGCATCCAGGCCTCCGGAGCCGGCGCCGCCCGCAGCATCGTCCAAAAACCGGCGGCTCGTCGGGCGCCCACCGGAACTCTGCTCCACGTAGTCGCGGTCACTGGCACCTAGGCCCGCCTTGCGCGGGCCGCCGCTGTCAGTGACAGATCCGGCCAGCCGGGCGCGTGCCCCGCGCGTGCTCCAGGGATCGCGGAGGTGTACGGCACGCGAGGCGGACGGTGGCGCGCGTGTCTTCCCCGTTGCCGGCTCGTGCCCCCCGGCGATTTTACCATTGTGCCCTTCTCACTAAATTAATCATGCATGCATGGCCATTTTAGTCCGTACATTAAGTAATCTGTTGTAATTAAGGTGGTGTTTGGTTGGAGGGGCTAAAGTGGGGCTAAACTTTAGTCCCTCTCACAAAAACATAAGTCCCTTTTTTTCAAGAGAGAATCCATTATTTACCACTGACTTTATCACACGTCTACGATTTGCCACTGACTTTATTATGTTCTACAATATGCCATCGACTTTTGCTTAACTTCTACAATTTACCATCGCCGTCCGGTTAGTCTCCGTTAGTACTGTACAAATTTGTCAAAATGACCAAAATACCCCTGGGAGAAAAGGTTTCAAAATTTGGATAAAAATTATGAAATATCATATTTCAAGTTTTTGTCAAATTTTGGATGTTTACAATCTTATGTTTATAATATAATATTTTGATAATTTTATCCAAATTTTGGAAGTTTTTGTCATAGGGGTATTTTGGTCATTTCGACAAATTTGTACAGTACTAACGGTGGCTAACCGGACGGTAATGGTAAATCGTAGAAGTTAAGCAAAAGTCGATGGCATATTGTAGAACGTGACAAAGTCAGTGGCAAATCGTAGACGTGCGACAAAGTCAGTGGCATATAATGGATTATCTCCCCTACTATAGAGACTTGTACTTTTGTAAGAGGGACTAAATTTAGTCTCTAGTTCCCAAACACCCCCTAAGTTGTTAAACTGTTGTGAGATCCACTTCTATAAAAGAAACTGGTAAGCATATGTGCATCTTCACACAAGTCAACTATAAGCGGTAATTAAGCAAGCTAGTACTTAACATCGGAGCTGTGTAGATGATGATGTCTTCTTCGCAAACACCAGTACGGATCGCCTTCGTTTTCCTCGTCATCCTCGCCGCGACTGATGCGCACAGCGACCACCGAACTCCGCCGCCGGCGTGCGGAGGCGCGGCCGTGGGAGGGGAATGCCACAGCGTGGCCAGGGCGCTCCGCCTGAAGCTGATCGCCATCCCGGCGATCCTCGCCGCCAGCGTGGCCGGCGTGTGCCTGCCGCTCTTCGCCCGGTCCGTGCCGGCGCTCCGCCCCGACGGCGGCCTCTTCGCCGTCGTGAAGGCGTTCGCGTCGGGCGTCATCCTCGGCACCGGCTACATGCACGTGCTCCCGGACTCGTTCAACGACCTCACCTCGCCGTGCCTGCCCAGGAAGCCATGGTCGGAGTTCCCGTTCGCGGCGTTCGTCGCCATGCTCGCCGCCGTGTTCACGCTCATGGTGGACTCGCTCATGCTCACGTTCCACACGCGGGGCAGCAAGGGACGGGCCAGCAGCGCCGTCGCGCACCACGGCGACCACGGGCACTGTCACGCTCACGCGCTGGGGCAAGCAGACGTCGCTGCGCTGTCGACGACGGAGGCGGCGGATCAGGGCAGCGGCGACGTCGAGGCCGGTAACACCACCAAGGCGCAGCTTCTCAGGAATCGCGTCATTGTGCAGGTGACCACACGGCACACTTGCTGGCCATGAACGACACACACACACATACAGTGACACTCATGGCGAACTTTGCGTGTCAGGTTCTCGAGATGGGCATCGTGGTGCACTCAGTGGTGATCGGGCTGGGCATGGGGGCGTCGCAGAACGTGTGCACGATCCGGCCGCTGGTGGCGGCGCTGTGCTTCCACCAGATGTTCGAGGGGATGGGGCTCGGCGGCTGCATCCTGCAGGCGGGGTACGGCGGGAGGACGAGGTCGGCGCTGGTCTTCTTCTTCTCCACCACGACGCCGTTCGGGATCGCGCTGGGGCTCGCGCTGACCAGGGTGTACAGCGACAGCAGCCCGACGGCGCTGGTCGTCGTCGGCCTGCTCAACGCGGCGTCGGCGGGGCTGCTGCACTACATGGCGCTGGTGGAGCTCCTCGCCGCCGATTTCATGGGGCCCAAGCTGCAGGGCAACGTCCGTCTCCAGCTCGCCGCGTCCCTCGCCATCCTCCTCGGCGCCGGCGGCATGTCCGTCATGGCCAAGTGGGCGTGAGCGTGACCGTGACCGGCGTCAGGGTCGAAGATATGCATGAAGTATAGGTGAAGGTGACACCGTATGTGTTGAGTTGTGATCCAAATTCATTTGCACTTAATAAAGACCAGCTTCTGCCGTACGGATCATCATCCCTTTTAGGGTTCCACTATATATATACCTCTTGTAAGCCGCCGTGCGGTGATGTAACCTCACCTTAGATATAGTGAAGATATTTTGCTGGCTAGCGCCCGTGGTTTTTTCTCTCCTATTTTGGGAGGGTTTTCCACGTTAAATCTCGTGTCTTTTGTGATTGATCTATTGTTCTTTATCGTTTGTTCGCCTATCGTTTCCTAACAAGTGGTATCAGAGCTTGTTCCCAGATTAGGGTTTCGCGATGGCGTCAATGAAGTATGATCTACCGCTGCTAGATTACAAGACGAGATTCTCGCTGTGGCAAGTCAAGATGCGGGCTGTTCTGGCGCAAACTTCGGATCTTGATGAGGCGCTGGAAAGCTTCGGGAAGAAGAAAACGACTGAGTGGACTGCTGAGGAGAAGCGGAAAGATCGTAAGGCTCTGTCGCTAATCCAACTTCATCTATCTAATGATATTTTGCAAGAAGTGTTGCAGAAAAAGACTGCTGCAGAACTTTGGCTCAAACTGGAATCGATCTGCATGTCTAAAGATCTAACCAGTAAGATGCATATCAAGATGAAGTTGTTCTCGCACAAGTTGCATGAGAGTGGTTCTGTGTTGAACCACATATCGGTCTTCAAGGAGATCGTTGCTGACCTAGTGTCGATGGAGGTACAGTTTGATGATGAAGATTTAGGTCTTTTACTGTTATGCTCACTGCCTAGTTCATATGCAAATTTTCGTCACACCATACTTTTAAGCCGTGATGAACTAACCCTAGCGGAAGTTTATGAGGCGCTCCAAAACAGGGAGAAGATGAAAGGTATGGTTCAGTCTTATGCGTCGTCCTCTAAGGGCGAAGCATTGCAGGTCAGAGGCAGATCTGAGCAGAGAACCTACAACGACAGCAATGATCATGACAAGAGTCAGAGTAGAGGCCGTTCTAAATCCAGAGGTAAAAAGTTCTGTAAGTATTGCAAAAAGAAAAATCACTTCATTGAAGAATGTTGGAAGCTGCAGAATAAGGAGAAAAGGAAATCTGATGGTAAGGCCTCTGTTGTTACCAGTGCTGAAAACTCTGATTCAGGAGATTGTCTTGTTGTTTTTGCTGGTTATGTTGCTAGTCATGATGAATGGATACTTGATACTGCATGTTCGTTTCATATCTGCATTAACAGAGATTGGTTTAGTTCTTACAAGTCTGTGCAGAATGAAGATGTTGTGCGCATGGGAGATGATAACCCACGTGAGATCGTGGGCATTGGCTCCGTTCAGATCAAGACTCATGATGGCATGACACGCACGCTGAAAGATGTGAGACACATACCAGGGATGGCGAGAAATCTCATCTCTCTCAGCACACTTGATGCAGAAGGATACAAATACTCCGGTTCAGGTGGAGTTGTAAAGGTATCGAAAGGTTCTCTTGTTTACATGATTGGTGATATGAATTCTGCAAACTTATATGTCCTTAGAGGAAGTACATTACATGGTTCTGTTACCGCTGCTGCTGTTACTAAAGATGAACCTAGTAAGACTAACCTGTGGCACATGCGTCTTGGACATATGAGTGAACTTGGTATGGCAGAATTGATGAAAAGGAACCTGCTGGATGGCTGCACTCAGGGTAACATGAAGTTCTGTGAGCACTGTGTTTTTGGTAAGCACAAGAGGGTAAAATTCAATACCTCAGTTCATCGCACCAAAGGTATACTTGATTATGTACATGCTGATTTGTGGGGACCTTCTCGTAAGCCCTCTCTTGGTGGTGCTCGTTATATGCTTACCATTATTGATGATTACTCTAGAAAAGAGTGGCCTTATTTCCTGAAACATAAAGATGATACATTTGCTGCTTTTAAGGAGCGGAAAGTTATGATTGAAAGGCAAACTGAAAAGGAGGTAAAAGTACTTTGCACTGACAATGGTGGTGAATTTTGTTCAGATGCTTTTGATGATTACTGCAGGAAGGAAGGCATCGTTAGGCACCACACCATCCCGTACACTCCACAGCAGAATGGTGTAGCTGAGCGCATGAACAGAACCATCATCTCCAAGGCTCGTTGCATGCTGTCCAACGCTCGCATGAACAAGCGTTTTTGGGCAGAGGCTGCTAACACCGCCTGCTACTTGATCAACAGGTCGCCTTCTATCCCACTTAATAAGAAAACTCCCATTGAGATATGGTCTGGTATGCCTGCTGATTATTCACAGTTGAGAGTTTTTGGATGCACTGCTTATGCTCATGTTGATAATGGAAAATTAGAGCCTAGAGCTATTAAGTGTCTATTTCTTGGTTATGGTTCAGGAGTAAAAGGATATAAGTTATGGAATCCTGAAACTAACAAGACCTTCATGAGCAGGAATGTTATTTTCAATGAATTTGTTATGTTTAATGACAGCTTGCCCACAGATGTCATACCAGGTGGTTCAGATGAGGAGCAGCAATATGTTAGCGTGCAGGTGGAGCACGTGGATGATCAGGAAACTGAAATTGTTGGTAATGATGTTAATGATACTGTTCAGCACTCACCTTCTGTTTTGCAGCCACAAGATGAACCTATTGCCCATCGCAGAACAAAGAGGAGTTGTGGTGCTCCAGTCCGTCTTATTGAGGAATGTGATATGGTTTATTATGCTTTTAGTTATGCTGAACAGGTGGAGAATACTCTTGAGCCAGCCACATACACTGAAGCTGTTGTTTCTGGAGACCGTGAGAAGTGGATCTCAGCTATACAGGAGGAGATGCAATCTCTTGAGAAGAATGGCACATGGGAGCTTGTGCACTTGCCAAAACAGAAGAAGCCTGTTCGTTGTAAATGGATCTTCAAGAGAAAGGAGGGTTTATCTCCTAGCGAGCCTCCGAGGTTTAAGGTAAGGTTAGTAGCAAAAGGTTTCAGTCAAATTGCTGGTGTTGATTATAATGATGTGTTCTCTCCAGTTGTAAAGCATAGTTCAATTCGCACATTCTTCAGTATTGTTACTATGCATGATCTTGAGCTTGAGCAGTTAGATGTGAAGACAACATTTTTACATGGAGAGCTTGAGGAGGAGATATACATGGACCAGCCAGAAGGGTTCATAGTACCTGGTAAGGAGGATTATGTTTGCAAGTTGAAAAGATCTTTGTATGGTTTGAAACAGTCTCCTCGTCAATGGTATAAAAGGTTTGATTCATTTATGTTGTCACATGGCTTTAAGAGGTCTGAATTTGATAGCTGTGTGTATATTAAATTTGTTAATGGATCACCTATATACTTGCTGTTATATGTTGATGATATGCTGATTGCTGCCAAGAGCAAGGAACAAATCACTACATTGAAGAAACAGTTGAGTAGTGAGTTTGATATGAAGGATCTTGGTGCTGCTAAGAAAATTCTAGGTATGGAAATCACTAGAGACAGAAATTCTGGTTTGTTATTTCTTAGTCAGCAAAGCTACATTAAGAAGGTTCTTCAGCGTTTTAACATGCATGATGCAAAGCCTGTTAGCACTCCTATTGCACCTCATTTTAAATTATCAGCTTTACAATGCGCTAGTACTGATGAGGATGTAGAATACATGTCTAGAGTTCCATATTCTAGTGCTGTTGGTTCTTTGATGTATGCCATGGTTTGCTCCTGGCCAGATTTATCTCATGCTATGAGTTTGGTTAGTAGATACATGGCTAATCCTGGTAAAGAACACTGGAAAGCTGTTCAGTGGATTTTCAGGTACCTCAGAGGCACAGCTGATGCTTGCTTGAAGTTTGGCAGGATTGATAAGGGGCTTGTTGGATATGTGGATTCTGATTTTGCTGCAGATTTGGATAAGAGAAGGTCACTCACAGGTTATGTGTTTACCATTGGTAGTTGTGCTGTGAGTTGGAAGGCAACATTGCAGCCTGTTGTTGCCCAGTCTACCACTGAAGCAGAATACATGGCTATTGCTGAAGCATGTAAAGAATCAGTTTGGCTGAAAGGATTGTTTGCTGAGCTTTGTGGAGTTGATTCTTGCATTAACTTGTTTTGTGACAGTCAAAGTGCTATATGCCTCACCAAAGATCAGATGTTTCATGAGAGGACAAAGCACATTGATATCAAGTACCATTATGTTCGCGATATAGTCGCGCAAGGTAAGCTAAAGGTATGCAAGATAAGTATTCATGATAATCCTGCTGATATGATGACAAAGCCTATTCCTGTTGCTAAGTTTGAGCTTTGCTCAAGCTTAGTTGGTATAGTGGTTTAGCCCGAGAGGCTATTTGGCGCCGAAAGTGTTTTTTTTGTCTTTGTTGTGTTCAGGGTGAAGGATTGATTCATGCTACAAGAAGGAATTTGTCTCAAGGTGGAGTTTGTTGAGTTGTGATCCAAATTCATTTGCACTTAATAAAGGCCAGCTTCTGCCGTAGCGGAGCAAATCATCCCTTTTAGGGTTCCACTATATATATACCTCTTGTAAGCCGCCGTGCAGTGATGTAACCTCACCTCAGATATAGTGAAGATATTTTGTTGGCTGGTGCCCGTGGTTTTTTCTCTCCTGTTTTGGAAGGGTTTTCCACGTTAAATCTCGTGTCTTTTGTGATTGATCTATTGTTCTTTATCGTTTGTTCGCCTATCGTTTTCTAACAGTATGTATACTGGCGTGGCGGCATATATATTGTACTAGCCTGATGACCTTCATGGGAGTGGGTTCATTACTTCATTACATTGTCGTATAAATGGTTATGAAAAAAATTCAGTTAGATTAATACTGTAATAAAACACTCAACTGCAAGTTAAAAGTCAACTTCAACTAGTTATAACGAAAAAACAAATAAAACTATGACTATGACTAGTTAACATATATTCGCAATTAAATTTGTTTTTTTAGCATCTAAAAAACTGTCGCAAGTTTTTTGAGTCAAAAATTTTTAGATGTAGCTACAGTATAATTGAAGTGTAATTACAATACAACTACATTGCGACTGTATTATAATTGCACCATAATTATATTGTAACTACATCGTAACTACGATATAGCTTATATAAAACTTGTAGTCAACTATGATTTGGTTAGCTAGCATTGAGATCTTACTCATAACATGTGTGAAAATTTATTTCTCACATTTTTTTTCCTTTATGCACAAACCTCGAGACAATCCGATGGTCACAAATCTAAAAGTTTTGGAGGCCAAAAAAAAACTTATAAAAATTTTCTAGCAAATCCTTTTTCCATTGCAACTTATAGAAGTTAAATTTAACTTTGCATGTTTTCTGAGTGATTTATCACATATTAATCTATCTTGTTTTTTTCAAATTTCTTTACAACCATTTGGATGACATATAAATAATGAGGGGATGTCCCCTCAAAAGTTTAAAATAATTTCTAGTATAGCTAGTACTGTAAAACCACTTGAGGCAGTATACGTTGATCTCCAAATGAAAATTCGCTCGTTGTAGAGTTGTACAGTTGTAAGTTGTACGTAGTTGGCACTTGTACGGTTACACGTGCCATTTTTTCTCTCCCTATCATTACTTACATACTCTATGCATATTCGTATCAATAGGATGTGCTCGTTTCAATCTTGAAATGTAATCCCTTGCTTGGCGGCTAGAAGGTTCTGTTGTATAGAGAAACATGTACTCCTCTCGTTTCGAAAAAAACAAATGATATAAAATATTCTAGTACTATGTTAGTTTTTATGGGACGGAGAAAGTATAGTGCTACCTGTGCCATGTCCAGCTCAACAGATTATTTTGGGCTGCGCTACCCCCACACTGCGTTGCACGCATGGTGTAACACAAAGTTTGGCTAAGGCTATTGGGCTTTTTTAGTGCGGCCCATCACATCCCAGGAGGCCAGGGAGACCCATCAAAGTATCAAAACAGACCAAGGCAGTGTTGGTTCCCTTCAAATTTTCAAAAATTCCGTAACATCAAATATTCGGACACATGTATGGAGCATTAAATATGGACGAAAAAAACAATTACACAGTTTGCATGTAAACTATGAGACGAATCTTTTGAGCCTAATTACGCCATGATTTGACAATATGATGCTATAGTAAACATTTATTAATGACGGATTGATTAGGCTTAATAAATTCGTCTCGCAGTTTACAGGCGGAATCTGTAATTTATTTTATTATTAGTCTACATTTAATACTTTAAATGCGTATCTATATACTTAAAAAAAATTGGCTCACGAACTAAACGCGGCCCAGCCAAAGACGGCGCCGCAAGACGTTGGGATCGGCGAAGGTCATCCATTTCCGGCCATCCTCCTACCCTCCAGCAATGAGGGAAGGACAAACTCGACAAGGATATCGCGCACGCGAACCGCGAAGCTGGGACAAATCTGGGCCGTTGATGCGTCGTCGTCGGAGAGAAGTAGAGGCATGCTCCCCCAAGCTGCCACGCATTTCGTCGTCCCATTCCCAAAGCCAAAGTGCACCGAGAAATTCTCATTTCATTCAGATATTCGCTCGCTGTACTCCACTCATCCCTGCGCTCGCTCACCGCTCACCCTCCCCGCGCGCTGTGGCGAGTGTTGTTGTGTTCTGTCCTGTCGTGTCGCTTTCGCTCGAAACGATTGTTTCTTTTTGTTGTTTTTTTGGGCTCGCACGTGAGGTGAGGTGAGGTGAGAGCGAGGCCACCGGACGGACCACGTGCAACGTGCGCACCACGGCGCCGAGGCGGCGATTGAGGAGGATCGGATGATGTCGGCACTCGGCAATCTTGGCTCGAATCGGGATGGTGGTCCGCACTCCACCAGCGACTCTCTCTCTTCAGTTAATCGTGATGGATGGGTGGCTACGTGAGATGACGGGACTAAAACTTAATAAGTCACTATCACATTATCACATTAGATATTTGGACACTAATTATAAATATTAAACGTAGACTATTAATAAAACATATCCATAATCTTAAACTAATTCGTTAGACGAATCTATTGAGCCTAATTAATTTATAATTAGCCTATGTGAGGCTACAGTAAACATTCTCTAATTATGGATTAATTAGGCTTAAAAAATTTATCTCGTAAATTAGCTTTCATTTATATAATTAAATTTGTGAGTAGTCTATATTTAATACTCTAAATAAGTGTCTAAATACAGGGAGTAAAGTTAAGTCCATGGATCCAAACACCACCGATTCGATTACTTTGTGCTTATTGATACGGCTCTGTCTGAGCCTAAGCCTTAAGCCTTGCACGGGTTGTCGCTCTGTTAGTGTTAGGCTCGAGATATGGATAGGATGGGAAAGTGTGTGAACCCCCCCCCCTCCCCCCCCCCCCACGCAGAGAGGTAGGAGTATTGGTGTTAAGTTAAAGGCTTAAAGCCGGCGTATAAATGCTCATCAAAAGTATGTTCGTTTTAACCCGTGTTTCGTCCGATAATATCCCTTTTTCATGTAGTAGTACGTACAACATTTTTTGGGATTAGATTCTACTCCATCTAGAACTTCTTTATGAGAGGCATGAAATTGGGTACTGTAGTACAGTAATACAGTTGCTCCGCGTGCCTAACTGTTCACATCTTGTGGCGCACGTTTGAGCCTTGTCACTTTAGGATTAGGAGATGATACATGCAACAAGCCAAACCATGGAGTATGCTCCATCCGTTCATGTGGGGAAAAAATGTTTTGATTTTAGCAAGTCTAACTCGAAAGATGTCCATCACTACTTGTACATTATACTAACATAGTATAACATATAAGTACATTTAGTGAATAAAACCATACTCCATCCGTCTCAAAATATAACAACTTTTAGCTCTTAAGATTTGTCCTAAAATATAATAATACCGTACCTATCAGCCAAAGAGGAATTCTTCTAGTAGTATCGGCTATTTCCCCTACTTTCCTCCACATTTTATCAAGTGGTCACGCTAGAGACAAAAACAGTCATGGATAGTTATAAGGATGGTATCCTTCCAAATGGGGATAAGAGAATTCTTACTATTCTCTTTCTTTCTCTCAATTGAAGAAGTAATTGGAAAATAATACAGCAAGTACAAAAATGAGTAATAAACCCCAGTATAGACTGGTACGATTCAATTCAACATTTTGTTCATTCGGGTTTGATTGTGTCATAGTTCTATAGTTGGAATTTGGTTTATCGTTGGATGAACTACATTGCTGATATTGATCCCAAGAAAAACAACTTCTCTACCAATATTCTCTTCCCAACCAATCACAACCCTCCACCATTCACTTTTTCCACCTACCTCCACTACACATCCAATTACAACCCTCCACCACTCATTTCTACCTACTTTCTTAATAACCGTGTCCAACTTCTTATATTTTTGGGCGGAGGAGTACTATATTTGTTATGTTCATGCTTCAAAGTACTTACAGGCAATATTAATTTTTTAATCATAGAAAAATATATTTTTTTTTATAAATTGCACCCTTCGTTCTATGAAAAACTGACCTTTTGAGATTAATCTACACAAGTATTTCTTTAGATTTATCTTTAAAAGTTATCTTTTATTTCGGGGACGAGTGAGTAAAGATCAAGTAGTAGTCCTACAAATTCTATAAAATTAAAACCACGTGTTGCAAAAAAAAATAGAATAACGTAACTATAATGTACTTTAAGCCATACTCAAGTGCCTAATCATGTTGTACTGGGTACTATTCCTAATTCATTCGGTTTTCGCTTCCTTTCGTACTGGAGGGGAGTATAGTCTTTCACCCAGTAAATTCTCCCCCACGACAGCTCACCCCTCCCAAAGTCAAGTCAAGGTCGTCGCCTCCCACCTCCTCCTCCGATCCGGCCGCCGCGGAGGCATGCGACCACACCACTGTACCACTACACCACCTCACTGACACGTGGGCCCCACACGCCACACACCACACCAGCAGCCAGTCATCGATCGAGTCGGCAGCAATCCCCAGCGCGCAGAAGAGGAGAGAGAGAGAGTATTCCTCGCAGAAGAGACGACGACTCTTCCGCCGACGACGTCACCCCCGTGACGTGGGTTGCCCCGTCACGGCCTCGCATCACCACACCTCACCACCCCCCACGTTCTTGTTTCTTTCCCATCCGCGTATAGTAGACCACGGAGGCAGCAGAGCTGCAGAGGAGTAGCGAGAGAAAAATACACGCGCGAAATTTCCGGATAAGAGCAGCGCCGGCGGCGGATGTAGGCAGCGTTTGCTGTTGCTGTTTTTTTCCCTTTTTTTCCGTCTCGTTTTGCTCCCACTTCGCTGCTCCCGGATCCGCGTAGGGTTCTTGTGTCGTGTGGTGGGGTTATGACCCGCGGCGCTGCTCTGCTTTGCTCGATTTGCTGTGCTTGCCTTGGAGGTCGCCTGCTTGGCTGCTTTTGAGAGTGAGTGTGTGTGTGTGTGTGTTTTTTTTTTATACCTCTTTTCTTTTTCTGGGAGAATTTCCCGTTCTTGGGTTTGGTCTTTTTTGCGAACCTTTGAACCCTTTCTTGTTGGATTCTGGGGGGAAGTTTATTTATGCTTAATTTGGCGGTTCTTGTTTTGTTTCGGGGAGTTTAGAAAATTTTCGAGGCTTTGATTCGTTTTGATTTTGGGTGGGGGGAATCTCGTCGTGCGAAAGGATTCGATCGGGAGAGCCTACCGGAGTTTGGATTCTCGCGTGCACCACCGCGAGAATTATGAGGGGAGAAGTGAGCTTCTAGCTAGCATCTAGAACCTTCTAGACTCTCCTCGCCATGGAGACGTCCACCATAAGCTTCTCCTCCTCGTCGCCGCCGTCCCCTCCGCCGCCGCAGCCGGCTCCGGGCGACATCGACGCCGTCAGCCTCGGCCGCCTCAGCAGGAACCTCGAGAACCTCCTCGACCCCGCCTTTCTCAACTGCGCCGACGCCGAGATCGTCCTCGCCTCCGGAGGCGGCGACCCCGGCGGCGGCGCCGTCGTGGGCGTCCACCGCTGCATCCTCGCCGCCAGGAGCCGCTTCTTCTACGACCACTTCTCCTCCGCCCCCGCCCCCGCCCCCGCCACCGCCGGCGACAAGCCGCAGCTGGACCTCGACGGGCTGGTCCCCGGCGGGCGCCACATCGGCCGAGACGCCCTCGTCGCCGTTCTCAGCTACCTGTACACCGGCCGCCTCAGGTCGGCGCCCCCCGAGGCCGCCGCCTGCCTGGACGACGGCTGCAGCCACGACGCGTGCCGCCCGGCGATCGACTTCGTCGTCGAGTCCACGTACGCCGCCTCCGGCTTCCAGATCTCCGAGCTCGTCTCCCTCTTCCAGGTAATCAACTGTTACCCAAACGTGTTCTCTGCACTCATGATTCACTAGCAACTTCAGTTTCAGAAAATTTTTATTGCTGGATGGTGTTGTAAATTTCCTACAAATTAGCATGTGTTTGCAAACAATTCATCATTTTGTGTTGAATAAGTAGCTGAATAATTACAGACAAAAATAGGACTCCTCTAAGTCCTAACTATGGGGTTCTTATGTCGCAGCGCCGATTATCTGATTTTGTGAACAAAGCTTTGGCTGAGGACATACTGCCAATTCTTGTGGTTGCCTCCACCTGCCATCTTCCAGAGCTGCTAAATCAATGTATCCAGAGGGTTGCCAACTCGAACCTGGACAATCGTTACCTCGAGAAGCGGCTTCCGGATGATCTGTACGCCAAGCTGAAGGAGTTTCGCGTGCCTGATGAACCACACAGTGGCATTCTTGACCCTGAGCATGAGAAGAGGGTCAGAAACATCCACAAGGCCTTGGATTCCGATGATGTCGATCTTGTTGGCATGCTTCTGAAGGAGTCCCCGGTCACCTTGGATGATGCATTCGCCATACACTACGCTGCGGCCTACTGTGAGCCAAAAGTGTTAGCAGAATTGCTGAAACTGGAATCTGCAAATGTGAACCTGAAGAACTCAAGTGGATACACGCCGCTCCACATGGCTTGCATGAGGCGAGAACCGGATATCATTGTTTCGCTTATAGAAAAGGGGGCCTCTGTTCTGGAAAGGACACAGGATGGACGTGATGCTCTTACCATCTGCAAGAGATTAACAAGGGAGAAAGACCGCAACGAGAAATCAGAAAAATGCAAGGAGAGAAGCAAGGCTTACTTGTGCATTGGCGTCTTACAGCAAGAAATAAAGAGGAGACCACAAATTTTGGAGGACCAGATGTCTGCAGAGGAGTCAATTGCTACACCTCTGCTGGTTGATAATTTTCACATGAGGCTACTAAACTTGGAGAATAGAGGTCAGCATATGTTTATCTTGGTTTGTCATTTTGAAGCTACGCTTGTTTGCAACAACTAATAGTTTTTCTTTCCATCTTTTACCATTCATTGATTATATCCTGGAATGTGTTTTGAGAAATTAGTGCTTTTTCCTTGTCTTCAATTTGCAAGCATATGTTCTGATGAGCTTAATTTGTTGCTGTATTCTCATTAACCTCAGTGGGCATAAGTTCTATCGGTACTAATATGCATATATTATCTACATCAAAGACTACTGAATGATTTGTTTCCTTTCTTTCTTTTTTTGTGATAGCAATATGATTCACTAACTTAATATGAAATGCAGCAGAAAAGAAGGAACCTAATTCAGTATCAGTTGGGATTACAATGTTGTAGTTTTTTCGCCTTTCCAGCTAGAGACTAGAATACACAATTCTGAAAATCATTCCTGAAGTATATTTCTGTGTCTATGCAGTTGCCTTTGCAAGAATATTTTTCCCTTCGGAAGCCAAACTTGTGATGCGCATAGCACAAGCTGACTCAACTCAAGAGTTTGCTGGTCTCACATCTGCTAATTTCAGTAAACTTAAGGAGGTTGACCTAAATGAGACCCCCACAATGCAAAACAGGAGGTTGCGAGAACGCCTTGATGCTTTGACAAAAACAGGTCATTTTTAACTCGTAATCGTGCATCTATATGGTTAATATTCTCCGGCATTTTGACAGATTAAGCTTCCAGAGTAACTCCTGTTCTCTGCTGTTACTAAATAAACTCCTGTATGTTCCAGTTGAACTCGGACGACGATACTTCCCACATTGTTCAGAAGTTCTCGACAAGTTCCTGAATGAAGAATCCACCGATTTGATCTTGCTTGAAAGTGGCACAGCAGAGGACCAGCAAACCAAGAGGATGCGCTTTTCTGAACTCAGAGAGGATGTACGGAAGGCCTTTACCAAAGATAAGGCAGCCGGCGCTGCAATATCTTCCTCAACATCTGCGTCTTCATCACCAAGGTATGAGACAAAGTTAAGACCTGGCAACAAGAAAGGGAAGCTATCACGGTAATATCAGCAGTTAAGTCTAATCTGCAGTGTAGCTTCTGAAACATCATCATCTTCACCACCAATGCTTGATATACTTGATATAAAGGGGTAAACAGGGCCTTAGAAAGTGGAAGTTAATTATCATTGGTAATATCAGTAGTTAAGTCCAATCTGTTCAGCATGCTCAACTTCAGGAAAGGTGGAGAAGGAAAGTAGGGAGGTTGCTTTGACAAGTAGGGGTGCAATGGAATTCCAACTATTTATCCAAGAAAAGCAGCGAGCATATCTACTACCAGTACGACTGTAGTGTGATTACTTGTAGTGGCTGTGATCTGACATGACGTACGGCATTGGCTTTTATTATGCTAAGAAGTTGGCAATGGTCAGTTTCACTTTCACAATGATTGTAGCCCTCTTGTATGTTTTAACCAATCAGGCCGTGTTTACTTCACCCTCAACTACCCTAAACTTCCAACTTTCTATCACATCATATCACATAAAAAACTTTCCTACACATATAAACTTTTAATTTTTTTTCCAAACTCTCAACTTTCCCCAAACTTCCAAATTTTTTCAGGAACTAAACACACCCTCAGTTCAGTGCTGGTAGAGTATCATTTTTGGTACGAATTGACTTCCGCTATGTCTGAAAATGTTTATGCGGTAACTTTAGCATTACTATATATATAACCGTATATTTAGTTCCTTTCTTTTCTACTTCCTCTGTTCTTAAAATATATACTAGCTACTTCTAGGCTCTAGCTATACAAATGACAATTGTAATATGGAGAACTTTTGGGACGGAGGTAGTACTATGGAGGGATCAGGGATGTGGCCCTAGTCTATTGCAAGGAAAACTGGAGTAGTAAGAATGTGAGTGTTAAACTGTTGATTTGGGCACTGATATTCTTCCCTTTAAACTGAACCAAATTCAGAATCAGATTAATACGATAATCAATGAATCGATTTTATGCATTTATATAATAAAATGTTTGCTAGTGGGACAAAGCAAAACACTAGACATTTGCATTGCAAAGAAGTCTGTCAGGTTAATAATTAAGGTGGTTTTACTAGTTTGCTCTTCTTACTGGACTAGCAAAATGCGTATGTTTTGCTGTGAGTAAAAGAAAATGTATAATAATATGTCATAGATAGAATATTTTTTAATCAAATATGTTAGTATTACTTTTTTAATATATATATATATAGGTAAATTAATATATATATGGTATCCACTTGATTCAAACAAATATTAGACTATTGCATAATATAGGAAAGTTTTAGAGACTAATTTTGTAAAATTGTAAAAGTAGTAGTGATGGTGGCAGAACCACCACCATCACTATTGTATAGATTGTGAAAATGTGTCCTTGCTAATTTGAAGATACAATAGAGTACATTTGCACTAGAGAAACTACAAAATGTTTTCGGAACAAAAAAACTGTCCATTGTAAGCTGTGTTATCAAAACTAAACTAGTTAAACGGTTTCCTTTCGGGTCTCATCTCCTCAAATGATTGGTGTCACATGCTTGATCTGTGATACTAGAAACTACAGTGCATCTCTTTTCATCCATGCATGTGAGCTATTCTTCCCTGTCCCCACAGCACTCGTGCAGCTCTGCAGGGCAAAGTACTCGGGTTGGCCTGAATCCAATGGATTAGTAGATTCGCCTAAACACTGCGCAGATAGCATCATCATCCGTCCTAGATTACTGTAGCTGCATGCTGACATGGTTCAATCATCAAGGAGAAGATACAGATGGATGGCACAGGATTGATGAGATGGCGACATGGCATAATTGCTAACCTTCCGTTAAAAAAAAGAAGACAAACTTTGGGTTTCCATGTCCAATGTTTGACTGTTTGTTTTATATGAAATTTTTTTATAATTAGTATTTTTATTGTTGTTACATGATAAAACATGATTAATACTTTATGTGTGACTTATCTTTTTAATTTTTTTATAATTTCTTTTAAATAAGACGGACGATCAAACGTTAGACACGAAAACTCAAGGTTTGTCTTTTTTTTTCTGTTTTTTTGGACGGAGGGAATAGTTTCATTCTGTAAGAGCATCTCCAATAGATGACTAAAATTAAACTCCCAAAAATCCTGTATTGGGGACAGCCAAAAACATATTTAGCCTAAAATACACCCTCTTCTCCAAGAGATGACTAAAATTTGGTTCCCAAAATTTTAAAATTTTTCCACATCATCATTAGTGGGCCCTTCCCAACTAATTTTCTACCTGCTCGTTAAAATCACAGGCGAGAGCGGAGGGGGAGATCGCGTCGCGCGTGAGAGGCGAGGAGGAGATCGCGGCGTGCGGATGCGGAGGGGAATGGGCATGGTCGACGCGACGCACGCGGACGGAAGGAGATGGCTGCTCATCCTAGTCGCGCGCGAGATCGCAACTGATACCGTTGGCGAGGTTATATATCAGACGCAGCGATATACGAAATTGATCGAAGGACACAGTGCTATAGACGCACATAGAGCTCTTCCTCTGTCAGCGCCGGCGGTGTTAGCACTTCACTCAATCAGAGCTCTTCCTCTGTCAGGGCCGGCGACGTTAGCACCTCACTTAATCAGGCAACTGCAGCAAGCAGCAACGATTGGTGACAGGCACAAGCTCTTGTGCAGTGCGTGAGTAGCAAAATTTTGCTAGCAACCATGTTTTTTACTTTGTTCTATTTCCTTTTTTTATGTTTCTGATCTGACAATGTCTTGATGGAAAAAAAAACTTAATTTGATATGATGAATAAATATTTGGAAAAACGGAAGGCCAATCACATTTTTTTTAATTTGATCTGACAACGTCGCAAGGGGAAAAACTTAATTTATTGTGATGAATAATGGTTTGGCAGTTGATTTGATCCAAGATGAGTCGACCTCGCTCCTCGTTTCAACAGCTCGTGGATGAATCATCGTCTGACGATGACGATGATTTTTTTTTTGCCACGGCACAAATCGTCCATAGCTATTGGCACTCTGTCAATGCACCAAGACATGGTGGGTCAGTCATGGGACATGAAGTGATTGATCGCAACAGAGAAGCACGGCACTTGAGATTATACCAAGACTACTTTTCTGATAATCCTACCTATGGCCCAGTTTTATTCAGGCGCAGGTTTGTATAAGTAAATTTTATATAATTTATTTTTGTTATATGCATAGATATGCATGTCTCATTAGTTATGATTCGCAGGAATAGAATGAGCAGGCCTCTGTTTCTTCGCATAATGAATGCAGTAGAGGATCACGATGACTATTTTGTGCAGAAGAGAAATGCAGCTGGTTTAATTGGGTTCAGTTGTCATCAAAAGGTCACTGCAGCAATGCGTCAGTTGGCTTATGGTATAGCAGCAGATGCTTTGGATGAATATCTCGGTATTGCAGAAAGTACCGCTATAGAGAGCCTGAGAAGGTTTGTGAAAGCAGTTGTACAAGTTTTTGAACATGAATACTTAAGATCACCCAATGAGAACGATACAACTCGATTACTTGAACTTGGGGAGGACAGAGGTTTCCCCGGTATGTTAGGCTCCATAGATTGCATGCATTGGAAGTGGAAGAACTGCCCTACAGAATTGCACGGTATGTACCAAGGGCACGTGCACGAGCCTACAATAATTTTAGAAGCCGTTGCTTCAAAGGATCTCTGGATTTGGCACGCTTTTTTTGGTATGCCTGGGTCTCATAACGATATCAATGTACTTCATCGATCCCCGCTATTTGCAAAGCTAGCTGAAGGCAAGGCTCCTGAAGTGAACTATAGTATAAATAGACACGATTATATGATGGGATATTATCTTGCTGATGGCATATATCCTTCTTGGGCCACATTTGTGAAGACCATACCAGAACCACATGGCAACAAGAGGAAATATTTTGCCAAAGCACAGGAAGCAGTAAGGAAGGACGTCGAACGAGCTTTTGGGGTTCTGCAAGCTCGATTTGCCATTGTTCGAGGGCCAGCTCGACATTGGGATGAAAAGACTCTGGGATACATCATGAAAGCTTGTGTTATCATGCATAACATGATTATTGAAGATGAGGGAGAAGTTGATTGGGAAGAACGGTTCCCAGAGGGAGGAGAAAATGTCAGAGTGTCCCACGATGAAATACCTGATCTTGATGATTTTATCCAAATGCACAAAAAAATAAGGGACGACGAAACTCACTATCAGCTACGTGAAGACCTAGTGGAGCACTTGTGGCAACATTATCCGGATAAATATTGAGGTTTTATTTATATGTTTGAATTCCATGTAATAAATAATATACATATGTGAGGATTTGCCAAATCATCTTAATTTGTTTTTCATGAATTGAATAAATGGTGTACTGTTCGGTTTAAGAATAGTACAGGAGAATTAATAAAAGTGCACTTCCTTTAACTTGTCAACCTAGTCATAGGTACAGTTCAGCTTATATATAATTTGCAAGATATGCATCAGCTTGTCAGCAAGATGACCGATCATTAGTACAAATTTCAAAATATATGAGGCTTCTGACTCTGTCAACAGCAACAAAGACAGAAGCATTACTGACAGCAGGATGAGGGAATTACCCAAGTACTGAATAGACAATTCTGAATTTAAATAGTTTGCATTGCATAGACTTAGTAAACCCACCTAATTTAGAGACACAAAATAGACACAATTGCCAGACGGTGTAGTGGATCATGCAACATATTTAAGAATCAGATGGTGTAGTGCAGCTGTGCAAAGGCAGCATTTCAACAAGATGGACACAAGAACAAGTATATGCATGAACACAGGCACTCAACTGAATGTAAACTGTTATGAAACACAAACCTATCAACCGGAACTGTTCATGCGACGAGCGATGATCTCATCTTGTACACTCTTGTAGAACTGCTGCTGTGAGAGAGGCTTGGAAGAAATGTCCATTGTCATAATTCTCTCTTCTTCTAACATCCTCTTCAACTGTATCTCATCCGTCTCATTCGCGACCTTTTTTTTATCTAACTCAAGCCTCTGCTTATCTAGTTCATATGACTTTTGGTGCCTCTCATCTCTCTCCTTCTTCTTCTCTGCATCAGCTTCTTTTTTTTTCTCCCACAAATGATCAAAAGCATCTGTGCATGTTTCACCACGCCTCAACTGCTCTTTAGCTCTCTTCTTACCCATCGGTCTCTTTGGCTCTTCAGTCTCTGTAGGTTCATTATCTTCACCAACATGATTGGTAGTTTCATCATTTGTGGGTGTAGCTTTTGCTGAACCATCTGTGCTTGGCTTCTGTCTGTTGGTGGCACAGGGTTTCTGGGATGTTATTTGCTTCATCTTATCATGCCACTTAGATTGTGACCGCAAGAGAGACCGACAGTGAAGGAATTGAAAGGGCTTTCCTTCCAACTCCTTAAATACAGCAATTGCCTGAGCAATCTGCACAAGTCAAGTATGGTGAATGTAGTTAGCAAACATCACATTTTTATTTATAAAGTAACATAAAAACACAAGCTACATAACTATGTATTACCTTGTCGTGTATACTAACCCCGCTTTGCCTTCTACCCTCAATCTGGCTCAGATGTCCACAAAACTTGTTGACATTCTCTTGTATAGTTTTCCAACGATGCATAAGTGAATTTTGGCTGCGATCTGGTGTGGATTTACTCGTTTTGTAGAAGTGCTCATATATTCTAGTCCAATATGCAGCACGAGTTTGATTTGTGCCTAGCACTGGATCCAAACTTACATGCAACCACGCCGACACAAGTATCTTATCTTCTTGTTCGCTAAAATTCTTCGATCTTTTTTGATTTGGTCTAGCCACGGTAGTCCTCTCAGCAGTTGGGAACTGCTGCGTGACAGGCTCGCTACTCATGCCATTCTCATCAAGCTGGTTACTCATATCATCCTCCACAGGCATACTACTCAAACTATCCCAATCTAAGGAATCGTTGCCCTCATTCATCAAATTAGTATAGAATCCTTCTTCTTCCATTATCAATAGGACCTACAAATAGTACATGTTTGTTTAATTTAGTGATCAAATAAGAACAGTACTACTAATACGTTTGTAGAAGTACTAGCATCTTGGGACTCTGCAATTTAATTCAGACATATGTTCACTGAATCCATTACAAAAGGCTAAAAAGTTAAGGTCAGAAAATACTAGAAACTAATAGCAATATCTAGCCAATGAGCAGCTAACTGGTCAGGTCATCAAACACTTAAATTATCTAAGAAAAGGTCATCAAATACTGCTGCAAGCAAACAAAACCCTGCACATATAGAAGCTCATTGTTTAGTTAATTTAGGGTGCTATACAACCTGAAGAAGAATGCATCTGACTGAACACAAACGCAAGCAAACACTATTGAATTAACAATTGGTATAGGCCAGTAACTTTTGTGACATCCATGTTAGTATAATCCTCAAATTATATTTGATCAGTATATTCGTAAAATGAGTTCCTGATTTAACACAAGTTAAGTTCAATCTAGGAGAACAATTCTCAACTGACGCCTGAATGATCCTGAAGCTGAGAAGCAGCAACAGGTATGATGCTTAGTAATTCTGAACTTCTTTTGAAGCAGTATCACAATTCGTTCAGGTGTTGTGCCTCAACATTTTTTTCTATATTTTTCTGAATATCCATGAGTTGTTGATCAAGTGCATATCTGAAGATATGGGTTTCTCTATTGCAAGGCCTATTGCCGCATACCTCATCTACCGATGCCTGATCCATTGGAAATCATTTGAAGAGGACAGGACAACAGTTTTTGATTGCATTATTCAGAAGATAAGTGCTGCAACTGAGGTATGTGGCAGTGATTTGGGAAACAATTTAAGGGAGGAGCTTTGCATCTCCATCAAAAAATTGGGAGATATCTCTATGAACTAGATGGCTGTGTGGGGGATTGCCGGTGTGGGGAAATCAGTACAGGAACTTCAAGCTTGAAAAGAATAAAGTTGTTTCTCTGAAAATACCTCGAAGTGAATCAGTAACAGCACACGTTGTCGTTGGGGCAACCTGGATGGACGGTCGACAGCGAGGTGGTGGTGCCTTGGACGGGCGGCCGGCGACGCTGCCCCTGGATGGACGGCTGGCAGGCCGGTAGTCCCCCGACGGGCGGCCGGCGGAACCCTGGACGGACGGCCGGCGAAGCCCTGGACGGCCGGCCGGCGGTGACCTGGATAGGCAGCCGACGGCGCTCGGGACGGAGCTAGCGCGAGGAGCTCCCAAAACCCTAGCCTGGCGGCGTGAGCGCTGTTTCTCGCGAGAAAGGAAACGACGCGAGGAAGGAGCGGGAAGGAAAAGGAGGCGGGCGGAAAAAAAATGGCGCGGACAGTAAAAAAAATTGGCGCGATTGGTGGGATTGGGAGGGCGTACCGCTTCCCAAATTCTGATGAGATTGGCACCGATTTTAGGAGGGGGTAAATTTTAGGACCGTGATTGACAGTCTGTTGGAGGCCTAGTTTTAACCAAAATCCCAAAAAATAATTTTTAGGAACCTATTTGGCCCTCTGTTGGAGATGCCCTAATGCTGTGCGTGATACGTTGTACTCTCCAATCAGGAGTATATGTACAGCCAAGTACCAGCCAGGGCATTAGATACTCCCCAATCTCCATCTGGCTGGCTGTTTGATTGTGGTTGGTTCCATGTCCGTTTCACACGAGCACTTTGCACGGACTAGCATCATCATCCTCGCCGCTGCAGTCGTTGGGCATCACATGCTAATTACTAGTACTAGTTGCATCATTACTGAGGTTTCTCTGGCACAGCTATAGCTTCCTAATAAAATAGTTTCAGCTCCACCTAAAATAAGAACGAAGCTGGATGGAGCACTATCACAAAATAAACTAGATAGGTGGAGCTGGGTTTAGACTGTTCCACAACTTCACTCCAGATCCAATGCCTAGAGCTAAATTTAAGAGTTAGAGCTCTACCAAACAGGCCCTGAGAGGGGGCAGTACTCCGTACTACTCTACTCCATCCGTTTTTTATAAAATAAATTTATTTATCATCCATCCTATAGTACCAATAGAAACCAAAAAACTAAAATACTTTCATTTTTTTTAAAATCTCAATGAATTACTCTATATTTTATATATTCCTAATATATCTGTTTTTATATCTGTTGTAGTGATTAATGATTATTTAATGATAAATTTATTTTAAGATAAATGAGTGGGGTAGAAAATTGATATTATCGTTCTTGGAAAAACGGAAGGAGTAGTTGATAATGGGCTCTACTTGTGTGGGATGGGACTTCAAATGTGGTTCGTTGAAAGTGTTTGGGACGCATGCAAGTCAACCAATCTTTCTACTACTGGTTTTTTCATATGTCGACGGGACAAGCAATTGTATAACAGTCTGTTTGGTTGGAGGGAGTTTCTAGGAGGGATTGGGAGTTTAAAGGGATGAGGCTATTAACTGTTTTGTTTGGTTGGGGAACATGGAAATTTTGGTGGGATGGGGATGGAGAATTGAGGAATGAACTCCCTCCTTTTCAATACCTGGGTAAGGGCAGGTAATTGGGAGGGAATTCCTCCTTTACTTCGCCTAAACAAATTTCAGCCATCCGTTTTCATTAATGATCTAATCTCCAACTAAACTCCCTATCAATTTCCACCACCTCTACCAAACAAGAGACTGAGATGAAAAATCAAATTCCCATCTTAATCTCACCATCAATTCCCTCGTGTAAACTCCCAATCCCCTTCCCTCAAGTTGCCAAACAAGCCGTTAAGTTCTTTTTTTTTTAAGTTCCTTTTTTTCTGCCTTGCTCGCTCACGCCACGTATCAGTACGGGCCGGCCCTGCGGCCCACTTGCACGATCGTGTCCACGACACATGGCCCGCGGAAAATGGAATCGAGGGCTTGACTTCTTCCAATATGACCGCTGACTATCCATTAACGGTTCTATTTTTTTTCGGAATCGTTAGAATTGTGTCGACATATTTTCTCCTCCATCACAGTCGGCATTTTGAAGCATCCAATTTCCTTTGTCCCGTGCCAATGCGATCCTGTCCGTGCATATTGCTATGGCAGGCTAACGTTGCGGCTACCAACATGATTAATTAAAGCTTAACGTCTTTATTAGGTCAAGGTTTTACACGTATGCATACTATACTTTATACAAATTTACACCCCATTTACACATGTAATTACTATGTAATTTTGGAACTTACAAATGTAAATACATGCTGACTATTTTTTGGTGAAAAATATGGCGCCATAAATATAGCTACTCCCTTTTTTTTGTCGCACAAAGAACATGGGTGTGTTTACTTCACGTTAAAATTAAAAGTTTGATTAAAATTGAAACGATGTGATGGAAAAGTTGAAAGTTCGAAGAAAAAGTTTGGAACTAAACAAGGCCCATATGGTAGAATCGAAAACTTAAATTCTCTCTCTACTAAGATGATATAACAATTGTTTAGAGAATTTTTCTCTTGCTCTCAACTAAGGGAGCACTTGCATACACCATCGAAAACAGTGGGGATTGTCTACAGTACTGCTGATGCAGTAGCAGACAATGACGTGTGGGCGCTACTGTATCAGCAATACTGTAAAGGATGTGCATCCCATCGAAAATTTTAAAACTATTATATATCATCATTTTTTTTAAAAAAAAAAAGTCATATGACCGCATTCTATGCTACACTTTCTCAACTTCTCCTCCTCCATTTTTACGCGTGCACGCTTCCCGAACTATTAAATGATGTATTTTTTTTTAAAAAAAGTATATCTATAGGAAATTGCTTTAAAACTCATATTAATCAGTTTTTTTTAGTTTTTTAAGCTAATACTTTACCAATCATAAGCTAATCCACCGCTCGGTTTTGCGTGTCGGAAGAAAGGGTTCCAATCTCCCCAAAAGAACACAGTCTACTTTAAATATTATTATATTTATATTTAAAGTCTTAATCTCAAATAAATCATATTTTAGCCACATCAAATATAAATTTTGACAGTTCTAATAGTAGAAACTTTGACAAATTAATTAGTTGGTATGCACGTACGGTGTAATACATGAAAGTTTGTGTGTATGTGTTTTTTTTTCCTCAATTAAGACATATCTTGTCTTGGCATAGTGTTTTCCTAATGCCCCTTCTACTGCCATCCTATTTTGTCAACTTCTTCCTAATAGTCATGTATTCCTTCTATTCTAACTTAGTACAATGATATGTTAATCATGTACTAGGTTGCCATATACTACCTCGTCTAGGTACTTAACTAAAAGTTGTCCGGATACATATGGCGTGTATGGACAACTAGGTCGTACAACTCGTGTCCAACTGTGTCACATCCACCAATTATTGAACTTGTGTTCTTACCACGTTGGTCCAGGCAAGAGACAACCTATGCCTGTACTTGCTTTAATCGGATATAAGTTGTACATATGGTTCAGATGCACCATAAAGAGGGAGTAATATGTAAGTCATGTATAGACTTAAAAGAAAAAAAAATTATTATTATTATTATTATTATTATTATTATTATTATTATTATTATTATTATTATTATTATTATTATTTAAGAAGGCAAAAACTTGCCGCCTTTGTATTGATAGAGAAGGACAAACAAAAAATATTAACCGAAGTTTTGTAACCATGACTAGTCATGAAGGGAAAATTATTGCAAATTATCCGAGAGAGAGAAATCTACACGGTCATTATAACATGACGGCAGGAGGGAGAGAGAACCCAAGGAAAACCCACCAATACATCGATTCTGTCCATCTGATCCTAAATTAAAGCACACAAGGGGAACGATAATACTTCCTTTATTTTTTTCAACTAATCAACATGATATAAAAATGGAGGGCAGTAAATTTGGAGTGACTTAAATTTTCACGTTTGCACCTTTGGCCTAATACCATTTCTTCAGCGTCCTATATATTTTCTGTTTCAGAATAATTGTACATATGCTTAGGTGTAATTTCTTCGATGCCACTAAAAATTTCACCTAATCCCTTTTATGCCACTAATGTCTTGTTGACATCTGGATCCACATGTCGTTGGGACTTAGGAGAATAGGCGACAAATAAGAGATTAAGTAAATTTTAGTAGCATAGTAGGAAATTATTCTGTTTGTTTCTATATATATCTTTTTCAGTCTTCAGGTAGAGCCACACAATCTGCACATTTTCTACTGTTGCTGGTAAGGAAGAGTGAGCAACAGTAGAAAAAGTGCAGACGACGTAGCGAGCATAAGTAGAATTTATTCTGTTTTACCGATAAGGGGTGAAGCTAACCAACAATTCTTCAAGCCAAAGTCTCTCCACTAAAGATTTTTTTCTAACTATGTTAAATATTTGAATTTTACATACACATTTAATAGGATTTACATAGAATTAGGAAGTCAGGCAAGAACTTTGCCTAGCTAGTCTTGGTTCCATCCATGCTAACATAGATGAATAAGGGCATTCCTAACCCAATGACTAGGATGGTGTCCATAGTATTAAATAAGTTGTCACCTAAGAAAAAAAAATGATGTGGCAAGTGAATAAATGAGAAAAGAGAAAGAAACCATGTCTTGCATGAGACATGGTTTCTACATAACATCCAAGACATCATGTGAGATAAGTAGCATTAAATTGAAGTATGGAATAGTGGTGTTTGCATTAGAAGATTAGTGTCTAGTACTAGTTTCTTAATGATGTGGAGTTTATAGAAACCATGTCTAGTGTTATGGGTTGGGACTGCCCTAATGAACGGAAAGAAAGTACGTAGTATATGGAGTATGTTTATTTGAGGAGAGATGGCTTAGCCATAATACACGAGACAGACAAGACTGGTATTAAATGTTGTAATGTCTCTATACATTGAATTTCGGCTGTTTTCAGGTTTCAATGTAGAGATGTACACTGTACAATGAGAACAATTAATTGTTTCGGCTATTGAACATGCATAACAGTTTTATGGCTATCATCAATTTTATTTTGTCCGGATATCCGTTGGAGATGAGATTATCTCAAACAGTTCAGGTCGAGCCATTTAACTAATCTTAAATCTTTATTTTTACTATTTAAAAAATTCGTAGTGGTGGTGGTGATGAGTCCTGGAAGATCAAAGGGTTAACATTCAAAGAAGAATGCTCTCACGGACATCAACGGATGAGATATCTCCCACGATCCACCCCTTCTCCTCTCCCCGATCCGCATTGCCCTCCCCGGCCCCCCATCCCCTCCTCCTCGCTGCGCCGCATCCCCATCCCCATCCCGATCCCGCCCAACTCGCGCCTCCTTCTCCGGTCGTCCTCCCTCCGCATCGTGCCCCCATCGCTCATCTTCGAGTTGCCCCCTCCCTCTCCATCGCGCCGCCTACCACCGATTCCCTGCCGCATCTGCCCGTTGCCCTCGCGCCCGGCCGCATCTGCTGCCCATCTCCTCCTGCCCTAGCCGCCCGCGCCTCCTCCATCCATGTCGGCGCCGCGGCTCTTCCCAACATCCTCAGCCGCCTCCCCAACTCAAAATCCCGTCTCAATCCACCCCCAAATCCCGGCTTCCAATCACCCCATCCCGTGGCGGACATCGTTGGAGCGAGTGTTGTCGTCGTCGGATCATCGGGTTGACGTCTTCAATCATCTCCCCCTCTGCCATCGCCAGCGGTGCCTCCCTCCACTGCCGCCGCTTCGGCGTCGTGCTCGTGCGGCCTGGGAGCGGGTGTAGCGGCGGGGTCGGTGTCGGGTGGTCGCATGGTACAATCTTTGAGTGATTTTTTTTCAACATTTGTCTTATGTATATGCTGTATAGGATCTATGGACGCCTACCTTTTCCTGCAAATGTTACTTCTCCTTCATCCTTTGCAGAAGCACAACAAGGAGGAATTTTGTCATCAGCCACTAGATTGCTTATGTTAAGGGCATGGCGACCTGGAGGTGCACTGTGCCCATGTACTTTGTGTACGCAACTTACTCTAATGGAAATTTTGCTGTCATGTTCTTTTATGAGCTATTGCAAATTCTTAGCAACTGGATCCTGACTGTCAAATTCTTAGCAGCCCAGTTGGCGGCGACCCAAATCCCAGTGGTGGTGATCCTCACAGTGATGAATCCTTTTGGTGCTCATATGGGTTGTTTACCATCGATGGTATGCGAACTACCATCAAATTCACAAAATATGTGGCCACAAGTTCAGTTCTATCAGATACTAACTTACTCCATGGCAACTGAAAGTCTAAAACACTCTAGGATTTTTAAGTTCATTAGCATTTAGTGGTCAACTTAGATGAACATTGGTCAGCTCCTAAGATTTGCTCTATGGACCATCTATGTGATCCTAATCCATGCAAGAATTGGGACTAATTAATTGATTGCTCCTGAACTGATCTTCAGAAAATACTCTACTGTTAGGTGTTAGATTCAGAAATGCTCTGCTTTTCTTTTTGTTGAAATTAGTTCCGATTTGAAGAAATCATGTTTGACTTTTAGTAATTGAATTTAGTGGCAGAGAAATTAGAATAGTAACCTTGTTAACTACTTTTTCTCAGAAAGTATTTAGGCCCTTCATCAGTGTATTTGCAGACCTTGCTGAAACTATCAGTCCATACCTGCTGCAAGGAGAAAATGTTTCTGCCTTGCTGCCGACAGATGTTCTGTAATTATGCTCGACATTGGCTGTTAGGACTTGGTTTTTGATATGGTAAAAAATTTCTTCTTGTCACTAAAGTACTACTGAATTTAACTGCATGTTAGCTGTACACTATCAAATATTATATCACAACAAATGGTTTTTATAGCTACATGCATTCCACAGACATACTTACTTCAGTAGAAATGTGCCATGGCCATTTCCTTTTTTTCAAAATCTCATGTTTGTCATTTGGATTGCGTCTCGAACCTTTTCATGGTCATGAATTGGTAACAACCGTTGATTAAGTTTTTGTCTGATGCTCTTAGCTAGAACATTTTGGACTAATACGAGGAAAACATATTTGAAAAAGTTGGCATTTTGGACAAGGGGATAATGATGAACCTTTTTTTTTCTTTGTTGCATCTTCATTTAAAGTGTACGAAGGAAGCTAAAAACACATTTATGAAAACTGAGGCTTGCCTACTGAATGAAAAAAAAGGTCCATTCACATTATTCACCAATCAGTTTAGCAATTGGTTGTCACCCAGGATCGTCCCCTACAGTTCATACAGGACCCAATAGAAATTGAGCTTTCTGGTGACAAATTGAGGTATAAAAAGCATGTAGTTATCCTTCTTGTTAAGATAGTAGGTATAAGAAGCATATAGTTATTTATCTAATTAAGATAGTTCTGTTTCACTACCTGTATGATGGATGTTGAGGTTCCACACCAACATCCTTGATGTTATCAGAGAATAAAATAGTAAGAGGAACATTTATGGACTAAAGACGGAGGGCTGAATCTTAAACTTGCAGAGAATAGTAGCTAGGTCAATATACAGTAAAAAGAATCCAAATACTACTGGTTGTAACTTTTTTTGGAAGAAATTATGGCTCACGATATTGTTTTCAAGTTTAGGATTCAGAGAGATCAACACTTTATCTTTTTATCTTTTTATTCAGACGGAAAGTATGGCTTAAAATATTGGCTATACAACTTTGCGAGAGAGTTAAATTGGGTAGATTCAGAAAGAGAATGTAGCTACATTATTTTACCATTTATGCTCATGAAATTCATCTTGTTGCTGTTCAATGTACAATCCAGCAGATCAACAGCAGCGACAGTGATGACTTGCGTCGTCCCTGAAGACTGATGGAGAGCACAGCCTCCCCTATGAGAAGTAGGTTGGCATCCCTGCTGTATTGACTATCACCGTCCTACCTATAGCCGCCTCACATCTTTGCCGTTACATTGAAGCCCTTCCACGCGTCCTACTGCCCCCATCTATGAGCAGATTTGATTTTTTTCCCTCAAATTTACTCATTGTGGTCGAGCTGTATTGTTCTTCTAGAGAAAAATTTCATTCTATCTGTGTTGATATTCTTTTCTGAAGTTCTCTTTCTATCTACTTGGTCACACCGAACGCCCAGGGAAAGATAAGCTCCAATCACTTGCTGTAGCAGCCCTGCTCCACCTGGTTACTTGTTTATGCCCACATGTTAGTGGAATAGCCCTTTATCAATTTTTTATGTGGGCATATGTTATCTTCAAATATGTATTAAAGTGATTATATATAATTGTGGATGTTCTTAATTATTATTTTTCCAGACAATATGATAATTTTGCATTGTCTTAAATCTATTTTTATATGACTTGCACTGAATTTCCGCTCAATTGGACTGATTCTAAGAAAATTAATTTTACTTTCATGAAATTTAATGATTTATTAACCAAATATTATGCCACCGTTGCGTAGCACGGGCATGTTACTAGTTAATAAAAAATTAACAACCAAATGTATCAATTATCATTAATTAATTACTAATGATTAAGATTATTAGTAATGATGGATATTCTTAATTTCTTATCCGGCCAATTTGACCAATTTAACCGGATGAGCTCATCCAATATAATTAGTAGTTTTTTATTTTTATACTCCAGTAGCTACCAATGTTTTTGTTGGAAGACAAACTGATTAAGCGCAAGGCCAATGCTTATGGTTCCATCAGCTATATATGTGGGACCCGCTATAAGTAAGCATTAACTATGTCCATATCCACAATGGCTGTGCCTATGGGAGAAAATAAGCTGGGTCCCAATGGGTCCCACCGAAGGATAAAAAAATCACTTCTTATCCTCCTGTGAAACTCCTTGTACAATAAAAATTCCCCAAAAGTACTAGTGTGAACAGCACATTTTTTATGTCAGATTCTTATGGTCTATTTTCACAATGCTTAAGGTGATATACTGTAGAGTTATTTATTGCTTAAGGTCACTTTTAGCGCACATTGTGGTTGCCAATGCGTGATCCAAGATAACCAATTCGTTGCACATTAATTAGTTTGGTGCATACGTACCCTCTCACGACGAGGGAAACGAACTGGGATCTAATTATATTTCATCATGTCACATCAAATGTTTGAACACCTGTATAGAGTGTTAAATATAGGCCAAAAATAACTAATTGCACAGATTGCGACTAATTTGCGAGACGAATCTTTAGCCTAATTACTCCATGATTTGACAATGTGGTGCTACAATAAACATTTGCTAATGGCAGATTAATTAGGCTTAACAAATTCATCTTGTGTTTTTACCGACGGATTCTGTAATTGGTTTTTTTATTATTGTCCGAACACCCCATGCGACGCTCTATATAATACCCGATGTGACACGCCAAAACTTTACACCCTGAATCTAAACATCCCCTAACTTCAATCGTGAAACTTATCCTTTAGAACACGTGATCAAATTTGAAAAAAAAATAAATAGAAAAAACACAATATTAGAATGTCATGGTTGATTAGAACTGGCATCTAAATTTGATCTTGAAACTTTTTACGGTAAACGTAACAGGAAATCCATATATGCATAAATTAAAGAAAAACATACGAATTACTCCTGAACTATTAGATCGATCAAGTTACCCCATAAACTATGAAACCAGACATTCTACAGCCCGAACATTTCAAACCAGATTCATAACCCCCTAAACACTATTTTGAATGGTTTTGACTTAAGACGGTACATGTGGCAATCTAGTAAAACATAACATAGGTCCACATGTCATGCCTCTTTCTTCCTTCTAAGCGGCGGAGGAGGACCTGGACCTATCGGTGGTGGTCAAATTCTAAGCGTTGCTCGCCGCTGCCGGTGAGGAGCTGCCCGTTGAACGGCCGTTGAACGGGATGCACGACCTCGCCGGGTTTGACCACCCCACCCTGTGATACCTCAGCAACTCGACGGGGATGGTGCCGGCGATTCCGTCCTACCCGAGCGACGCAGGCATGCGCGTCACCGTTGCCCAAGCGTTGTGGCCTCGCCGCTACACCGCCCACCATCTTCCTCCATCATCCACCGCACTCCTTAAGGCTACCAACTGTTCCGCCACCGCGTTCTTAGCCTAGACCACCGCCATCGACCGTCGCTTTAGAAGGAAATAGAGAATGAAGAAATAAGAAGAGGGGAAAAGAATAGGTTAGCCGGCTGGGATGATCCAGTGACTTCTTGCTCTCTTCCCCGATCTTTGCTAGTACTGCCCATCCTCCCTAACCTCGCCGTTGCCCCTCCCAACCGTCGCACATATCCTCGTCGACCTCCAACACCGTTGCCCCTTCCATCAAGGCTGGCGACCGTCGCGTGTCTCGTGGCAACCTCCGCTGCTTCTCCCCGTCCTCCTGACCTTGGTGGCCTCCGATGCAGGGAAGCTGCAGAGCTCGTGCTTGAGGAGGCGGCCGTTGGTGCGCATATCCTCCTCGGCCTTCGACGCGAGGAAGCTGCAGCGCTCGAGCTTGAGGAGGCAGTCATCAACCTCCAACGCAAGGTGGCGGCAGGTAAGATGCCACCGACTCCGAGGCAAGCGCATGTGGAGGGAGAGCGGTGGCGCGACGGCCTACTTGCTGAGTCGAGGAGGAGGAAGAAGCCCTGCTGAGCTCGACGGATGGGCACTGCCACGTGCTTCAGCGAGGGAGGAATCCGAGAGGATGGAGAGAGGAGGGTGTGGATTGAGTAACATAGGAGAGAGAGAGAGAGTGATATGGAAGAGATCTGACTGGTGGGTCCAACTGATTTTTTTTAAAAAAAAGATAAATGACTAGACTGTGATACGTACGGATGCCACGTAGGATCAAAACCATTTTAGATTAAGTTAGAGAGTTATTTATCCGGTTTAAATAGTTAAGGATGTAAAAGATCTTATTTTCAAGTTGAAGAGGATAATTCGATCGACTGTAGGAGTTAAGGGTGGTAATTCGTTTTTTTTTCCTAAAATTAAAACCACTCCTAACTCCTGAGGAGAATATCTTAAAAGCAGCGGCAGAAGCAGCAGCACATGCTAGCTAGCACAATAAATATACTCCACTGGAGTAGCAGCTCCGCCGACACCGACAGCATGCCCGCAGCGAGCATTCCCGTCCACGTCGCGGCCGCGGCCGTCGATCGATCGGTCGGTCGGTCCACGAATTTATGGGCGCGCCGCGAGAAAGCAACCAGGTTTCCATCTCCAACGTCGCACGGGTGGTTGGGCTCGCTCCCGACCTCCCGTCGACTCCACGTAATCTAATCTGCTCGTCTAATCTGATCCAGATCCATTAGGTCTCGTTCCTTTTTGTTAAGGTACATATTTTACCTTCTATTCTCATTTTTTTTAAATTACATAGTACAACTCACAACGCACGCGCACTCACCCCTATAAACACATGCACGCAAACCCTATCCCTATGAGCATCTTAGAAGACTGGACCAGCAAATCCTAGAGAGATTGACGAAGTCACCACAGACGCCTCGCTGAACCTTTTTTTAAACTACTGAACAGCACATTTTATACGAAAAATTTCTACATAAAAATTATTTTAAAATATCGGATAAATTTACTTTTAAAATTTAAAATAATTAAAACTCAATTAATTATGTGATAATGATTTTCTTATTTTACTACTTATAATCTTTATATTCAATGAACTCTAATGTGATATGTTCTCACGGAAAACTAGAAAAATGAAAAGCTGGTGGATGCCTAGCAAAAGGAGCTAGTAGTGAAGGAGTACTAATTTTCGTATTGTGGAACTATGGGTTTCACAACTTCACATCAACGGGTGTGGAGGGCCGTGCCATTTTGGTTAGGTTACTTGGCTTTCAATTACAAGATCAGACGGACGGATTTTGTAGGTTCTTTTATTTAATTTAGGTGGTGGTATTCTTTTTTTTAAAAGACCAGGTATATTTCATGTTTTAGAAGAGTTGCTCTATTTTAGATTTTCCTTGCTAAGGATGGCCGAATGTTTTCAAATACCTCATGTCTCATGAGGGATATGAGGGTGTTGCCGTTATACTTTAAATATGATTTAGTGTTAACTTGTAATAGTTTTATTATGCTCATGGAATGAATGTATGTAGTGGTCATCCCATAAGTGAAATAATTTAATATTATTTTCTGAAGGGTGTCATCAACATTATGATTTGTCACTCCATGATAAAATCTTAAGCTCATTTTAAAACATTAAGATTTTAAAATGAAAGAAAGATTTTAAGGGGGCATTGCATTTTAAGTTAAGATGCACCATCATTATTTTTCATGTGTAATTTTTTGTTGTATGTAGACATACCATAGACTTGTTTTTTTTCATATTGAAGCCTTATTTCTTCACATGGATATAAATAGACACCATAAAATAATTAGCATTTCTCATTAATCGCTGGCAATTTGATTTGGTTATCAGTTCTCACCAAACCCCACATAGAGCCTATAAATCCATATTAAGATCAACTGTGTCAACTAGAGTTGAAAGAAAGGATAATAGAAAAAAACGGCTATAAGGTTAAGAGCCTAAGATCAAATAAGTGCCGTGTGAGTGGCAAAAATACACTTTCTTTTATCACTTTTTGGTCACTAGGTGCCACGAGATCGCCGTTGGCTAACGTGCAGAGCATGCAGCTGGTTAACAAATTCAGCTTATATTATTGTACCTTAGCCCATAACATATGCTCCTAATTTCATTTTTTGTCTTGAGGAAATGACCCTTCTACCCCCACATTGACACCATTGCTTTGCCCACAGATGTACAATGATTAGCAGCAAGTTCAGTTCAGGCTGTCCTCAACCTCAAGGCCTCACCAACACTACAAGCAATTAATTAACCAATAAATAAATGGTTAATTAATTACAATCAACCATTTATTAAGTCACTTAACAATTAATTAGGAGTGATTTAATTTTGGTCATAGACATGGTTGTTGCAAATGATGTGGCAACTACCCAAAAAAAGCCCCTCATTTCTCTCTCTCTTCCACCTCCAGCCTTCCCTCCTCCTGCTGCTCCTCCACTGCAGCAAAAAGCAAGCAACCTCACCGAGGAGGGGAATGGAATGGAGCTGAGCCTTCTCCCCGCCCCACGCGTGTAGCCGCCGCCGCCGGCGAGCAGGTTTGGAGTGGGGGCGACGCGGCCGTGGAGAGCAGGTCTCGTGTCCGGATCGAATCGAAGGTATCAGTTCTTGCGTGGATTGGTGATCCAGCCAGACTTGGGGGTTGGGGGTTTCTTGTTTTATTTTTTTTCGTTTTGGGATTTCTTTTGATGCGTGGTGCTGTAGTATAGTAAATAATAGCCGTTTGTTCCAAAAGAAAATAAAATGTTTGGTAGATGTTTCTGAAGGCAGAAAATGGTTTGATCTTTCCAATCTGTTTCGAAATGTGGCTGGTTTGATCTCGACATCTTGTGATGCAGGGCGTTTCTAGTGTCAAAAAGAGAGGAGGGATGGCGATGACGGGGTACAAGTACCAAGCTCAGGAGTTGATGAGAGACTACTTGCTGGCTGATCCACTGGTTCCGTACACCTCGGTGCTCGTAGGCATTGCCCTGTGCAAGATGGTAATTTCGCCTGTTCTTGTAGTTTCTACCTTGTGCTTGATGATTTGCATTGCGGAATCAGCGCAATGCTTGTCACCGATTGCATGTTTGTGCTGTGTTGATTGATGAGAAGAATAGTTACATTTGAGAGTTTTGGTAGTACGAAATGACCATGGACTTCTACCAAGGAATGGCGCCAGAAGATCCAGCATGCTGTACAAGGATAATGATACTACATAGGACTACATTCTATCATATTGATTGATTCGAAAATATCAAATGTAGACTGCAGCTTCGGAAAAAATATAATGTTATCTAGTACTACTGTTTTTCAGCAAGCTCTGACCTCTGGTCATTGCATTGTACATATTGATTTTCCCCTTCATTCATAACTTTTAGGGATAGTTTCAATTTAATCGTTGGACCAAATTTTTAACAAGGTTTCTGTTAAATTTAGCATGCTTGGGATGGTTTCTATTAAGTAACATTGATCCATTATACTGTTTTCATTTTTAGTTGAATGAGCTTGTTTTAACTGAAGAAGGTAAAACAAGACATAAAAGGTATCTGGTATTTGAGTTATGACATAAAACTAACAACCGCCAACTAGATTTTTGCCATCTTTCGTCAACGACAAAATAATCTTCTGAAGAAACTTTTTGAATGCGACATAATATTATGTCATATTATTGCTGCAACTGACCGTAGCATTTTTGGACTTGTTTCAATTGCTTACCAGCTTTTAATTGTTCAACAACATGTTTCTAATTTCACAGTAGCATCTTTGGACTTGTTTCAATTGCTTACCAGCTTGTAATTATTCAACAGCATGTTTCTAATTTCGCAATTCACGATCCCTGTAGGCATATGATCTCACAAGGGTACTGAGCTCATTTTACTTCAAGGGATATTCTTCACTGACAAAGATACAACGTGTTGAATGGAACAACAGGTCAGCATTGCTAGAGCTAGTACATATATTGCTCCCTCCCTGATATTTTTCTTTTCGTAAATTTCATAGTAACAACAAGTTACCTTTTTCAGGGGTATGTCCAGTGCACATGCGATCTTTATCACAGCTATATCATTATATCTTGTCATGTCTACAGATCTTTTCTCTGATCGCCTTAAGGGGCCTATCACATTCCGCAATTCAATCATCTCCACTTTTGCATTAGGGGTACTGAATAACATTCATTATCTACAGTGAACTTTTTCTTTTTTATGCTGGAATTGTTTTAAATTGTTTAACTGACATATTTGTGTCCTGGCTGTATGCTGACAGGTTTCTGTGGGCTACTTCATCGCTGACCTTGCAATGATCTTCTGGTTGTATCCTTCCCTTGGTGGAATGGAATACGTATGTGTTCAGCATTTGTCTATATATACTATTATAAATTAAGTTAATTGCTAATGAATTAGGTTTAGTTAAATTTAGTTTGGTTTCAATAAGCTCATGCGATAATTTTGGCAGCATGTTAGACAGTTAGGTAGTGCCTGGTTAGCAATATCTTATTGTTGTATATTGTTTTGCAGATCGTCCATCATACTCTTTCTCTAGTTGCAATAGCTTACACAATGTTGTCAGGGGAGGGTCAGTTCTACACATACATGGTTCTTATTTCAGAAACAACCACCCCTGAAATTAACTTGAGATGGTAAGCAAGTTGAGCATGTTTCATTTCTTGTATGAAGTCATTTCATCTCAGTTATTTGGTTATAACATTCTGATGCTCGGATTTATTTTAAGGTTTCTTGACACAGCTGGACTGAAAAAGTCAAGTGCTTACTTGGTTAATGGTATTCTGATGTTCGTTGCATGGCTGGTAAGTGAAATTTCTTACATGTTGTATTGAATTAAGTAGCAGCCTTCTATACCAAGTGCTCTGTTCCGTACAAATATAAATGTGAAGTTTCAAGCATAATCTTCACTGAGGACCCATAATAAAATAATTATATCTATAGAACAAATAAGAACAAGAGAATGCACCATGTTCATGAGTTTGTGATTGTGAATAACTGTCCCCATAAAATTGTGTTGGCAATGTAACTTCACCAAGTTGGCAGCCGTAGTAGGATGCTTTCCTCATGTACCTGACTAAGCTATTTTAGTTGTGAGACAATTTCTTTTCCTTGGTGTCATACTTCTGGCTCTTTATCTTAGCGATCTTACTTCTTTCAATCAGGTTGCAAGGATACTTCTGTTCATTTACGTATTCTATCACATCTATTTGCACTACAGTCAGGTAATAACATATCCATTGCTGATGCATTTATGGACTCTTTATTCTATTTTATTGTGTTTATATGTACAAATACACATAATCTCTATGCTATCTAACACATTCTTACTGTTCTATCTTCTTATGCAGGTAATGCAGATGCATGCTTTTGGGTACTACTTGACATTTATTGTGCCATCGGTGCTCTTTGTCATGAACACAATGTGGTTTATGAAGATCTTGAAAGGCGTGAAGAAAACATTGGGGAAGTGGTCATGATCGATCCAGGAATGCAGATCCTAGAACCGCCAACAAGAGTTGGTATTCCAGCGATCATCCGTATGATCTTGATGTGTAAAGTTATGGACATATATCAGGTTAACTAGGTAAAGCGAATATGTAAAGTGCTAGTAGCAAAAACAAGTTTAGATTAGGCCAAATTGCCGCTATTTTCAGCAAGCTGGAATTTCCTAGCCTGTTTGGCACGGTACTGAAGTTCCCAGCACGCTGTTTCTCCCCTCCCGCATCGTGTGTATATCTGAAGAAATTTCTGTGGATCAGTTGCCCAACAGTACAACCTCAAATGCTATAGTATTTGTGACAATTACAGTATTTACCTGTTCTCGCTCAACTCCTGTAGGAAAAGACATGTAAAAACGGTAGCATATCTCGTTGCTGATGTTTGAATTCGCCAAAACACGTCCTATGAAAATTAATCATAACAAACGTGTGCATTTAATTTATTCACATTTGAAAGGAATCGAAATTATTTTCCTCTGTGCTGCACTAGAGCGGCGCAGCAACCGAATATAACTGAGGCAACAGCAACCAAAGGTTTCTTGATCTCAGGACAACGTGCACCAGCTATAGCTCTTCAGTAACCAGTAACCATGGGTCACACATTTCATGGGAATGCGAATGTAAAAGAACAGTAACAATGATAGAGCACAATTAACATTTCGGTACCAATTTCAAGCCTCTGATGTGGCATTCTTGTATTGACATTTACATGACACAAGGAATGAAAAGAAATAAGCGTGAAGGCTGGAGTATATAGCCATGAAGGTGGCCACACAAGAACTTCTGGGATATTTGTTGAATTTTCCTCTCCTAGATTTTATAATGACAATACTCGGCCGAAACTATGCTTCAAGAGCAGCATGAAGCAGAGCTGACCAGTCTCTCATTTGGTCTCTGGGAGAGGACCATGCCGGCCTGCGGGTTCTGAGCTGGCTGTCCTTGAAGCAATCTTTTTGCTGCAATTGGAATGCATAATGCATGTTAATTTTGTGCGTACTATCATAGCTTCAGTGCAAACAACTAATAAACGGTTAGTATTAACAAGGGTGATTGTAGATCAACATAAAGGTTGATTATCTAACAGCTTACAAATTTAATCCACAGACCATCTACCCATCTAAAATGTATAAAGGTAAACTCACCAATTTCATAAAATATGTCATTCACATTTGTTGCAGTTTTCGCAGATGTTTCCATGAAGAAAAGCCCATTCTCCTGTGCATATGTCTTTGCTTCCTGCAGAAAAAGGAAATGTAAGACATACAGGAGAACACCATAGCAAGTAAACAAGATGCAATGCAGCATAAAGCAGTATCATTCTCATGCCACAAGTACCTAATCCGTGCCAAGATCATGCTTTTTTTCCTCAAAAACTATACCAAAAAAACACGGCACAAGCATGCTGATAGTAAATAGCAGTAGCAACTACCTCAGACAGAGGATTACCAAGATTGGCTGTATGAAATACGTATTGCAGGATTCACCATTAACCATAGTTTTGTAATGCGTAATCTTTTTCCTAACAATACAATTTTCAATTAAACAAACTGAGTTCTGCTATGAACATAGTTTTGTAATGTTTGAAACTGAAATGAAGGTTGGCTGCAGATTAGCAACACAAAAACACGCGTTACACGCCGAGGCGCCGTGCATGCATTTCCTGTGGCCATGAATTCCTGGACCTTAACTCACACGCAATTCCATCCTCCCTCCCAAAATAAGAGGAGGTCCAGCCCAACTGCCTGATCATCCCGCTCCCTCCACGACGACACAGAGCCCAACTCAACCAGCTCACCAGACGAACCGAGCAAACGATCGAACACCCACCATGCACACCACGAACGGCGCGCCTGCATGCTGCGACGCCAACGCCGACACGCCCCCGCTTCACCTCATCTTCGTGCCCTTCCTCTCGCGCAGCCACTTCGGCCCCGTCACAGCAATGGCAGCCGAAGCCGACGCCTGCCACCGCGGAGGGCGAACCGCCGCAACCATCGTCACCACGCGCCACTTCGCAGCAATGGCCCCGGCATCCGTGCCGGTCCGTGTGGCGCAGTTCGGGTTCCCGGGTGGGCACAACGACTTCTCCCTCCTCCCGGGCGAGGTCTCGGCCGCGGCGTTCTTTGCCGCCGCGGAGGAAGCGTTGGCGCCGGCACTCGGGGCGGCGGTGCGTGGGCTTCTCCGCGAAGGGGGCTCCACCGCCACCGTGACAGTCGTCTCGGACGCGGTGCTCCACTGGGCGCCGCGTGTGGCGCGCGAGTGCGGCGTGCTGCACGTGACGTTCCACACCATCGGTGCCTTCGCCGCTGCCGCCATGGTGGCGATCCATGGACACCTCCACTTACGTGAGGCCATGCCAGACCCGTTCGGCGTCGACGAGGGCTTCCCGCTCCCCGTGAAGCTCCGCGGGGTGCAGGTCAACGAGGAGGCCCTCGTTCACCTCCCCCTCTTCCGCGCCGCCGAGGCCGAGAGCTTCGCCGTCGTCTTCAACAGCTTCGCGGCGCTCGAGGCCGACTTCGCCGAGTACTACCGTAGCCTGGACGGGTCTCCCAAGAAGGTGTTCCTCGTCGGCCCAGCGCGCGCCGCCGTCTCCAAACTCAGCAAAGGCATCGCTGCCGACGGCGTCGACCGGGACCCTATCCTGCAATGGCTCGATGGCCAACCGGCAGGGTCGGTGTTGTACGCGTGCTTCGGGAGCACATGTGGGATGGGCGCGAGCCAGCTCACGGAACTCGCTGCTGGCCTGCGCGCGTCGGGCCGGCCATTCCTCTGGGTCATCCCGACGACGGCGGCGGAGGTAACAGAGCAGGAGGAGCGCGCGTCCAACCACGGCATGGTGGTGGCCGGGCGGTGGGCGCCGCAAGCGGACATCCTGGCGCACCGCGCTGTGGGCGGCTTCCTCAGCCACTGCGGGTGGAACTCGATACTGGATGCCATCTCTGCCGGCGTGCCACTCGCGACTTGGCCATTGCGCGCCGAGCAGTTCCTCAACGAGGTGTTCCTCGTCGACGTGCTCCGCGTGGGCGTGCGGGTGCGTGAGGCTGCCGGCAACGCGGCCATGGAGGCGGTGGTGCCGGCCGAGGCGGTGGCGAGAGCGGTGGGTAGGCTGATGGGCGACGACGACGCTGCGGCGAGGAGAGCGAGGGTGGACGAGCTGGGCGTCGCGGCGCGCACAGCCGTGTCCGACGGCGGGTCGTCGTGCGGTGACTGGGCGGAGCTGATAAATCAGCTAAAAGCGTTACAGCTTACATCGTCACGAGACAGACGCACTGATGCAGTGACAAGGGACTGACTCACATGCAGGCCAGTAGTAAACAAATACGGAATACTAAAAGATCAAGATTAATTTATACAAGTTCATAAAAACACAATCCAACATCCTGCCCTTTACCAGTGTATTACTTCCTCTGTTACAGAATAAGTTAATTTAGTACAGGGTGTAACACATCCTACTAAACTACATCACATGTAACCGTATTGATTGTAATATTTGTACAGCTTGGGTCATATCATGTGGCCCATACTAACCGTACTAATTGGACCATATTATTTGGGCCGAAACGACATTATCACTTACGTGCTACCTATATTAACTGGGCTGGAACGGATCGCAACCAACACCGAACAGCCTTGCTGCTGAGCCCGAATGGCCGGCGATGACAGCAGCGCCGGCCGTTATAACCCATTGGCGGCAGCGAATTGGTCGGACAGCCACCGACAAAGGGAGAAGATGGACAAGTAGTATAAAACTGGAGGCTGATCGCTGACAAATTAAGGTGTGTGGGGGAGACAATGGATGCCTCTCGGTCTCGCCTCCAGCGACCGGCGTGGACCAGACCTACAACCACCTACGTGGTGAGACGTGAAGCAAGCGGCAAGGACGACGAGTGTGATTGCATCATGTCAATCGTCGCCTAGAAAGCCACCGTGCATTTCTTCTATTCATTTTGGTTTGCTTCCACTTCCAAAGCTGTATGTATATATACACTACTCCATATATACATGCAGCGTGGAATAATTTGCTCCAAAGTTAAAAAAGCAAGGTTTAAGAGGCTAGTGTGGCTGTGTGGCACATGCCTCCGGCAGCTGGCTCGAGTGATGTGGTCAACTAAATCGCTTGCAACGATGTACATGCCGCCGTCCAACAGCGGATCTCCGGCGTGTTTAGCATCAAATTAATCTTCCTGCAGATGAATACAGAGGACAATAACTCCTAATCAAACCGGTCACCCAAAGATTCAGTGGGCTACATGTATGGAGTAAGCCTGCAACCGTACCATTCCCCGGGGATTTTTTTTTTTTTAGAGAAGGGTATATTTTACCCGGCCTCTACATCCACCGGATATATGCAGCCATTTAAATTGGGATATATGCAGAACTCAGTAAAAAGATAAATGCCATTGTAAAACCGTATAGAAATGGCAAGAGTATTTGCCTATATTAGTTGTGTGACAGGTAATTTCACCTTTGCAACGTAGGATAGTGAAAAGATAACATAGCGACATCACATATAAAACCAGAGGGAGGGCGAGAGGAAGGAAAACATACCTCTATTTGCACCTGCCTAGTCTCTAGCAAATCGGCTTTGTTGCCAGCAAGAGCCACCACTGTACTCGAGTTACCTATATCAAAGGAGAAATCAATTATTTTGACAAGATAGATAATTGTCATATGGACTAATTTGTTGGTTATTGACAATACCAATAACCAAATCCAAAAGTAAAAATGTGAAATTGCTCAGAGGAGTTAATGTACGTAATAAACACATATTTGCAAGCAATAGAAAAATAATAAAAGAACTGATTATTCCTGATTATTTAATAACCATGCAGGAAGTCAAAGATAGCATGCAATGGAAACTGTACAAGGAACTAATTAAATGTATGCGTAAGTGATAAAATAAGGTGCCAACGATCAGCATGTCCAGAAACTCAGAGCTGTCATCTGATGAATTTTCCACAAATTAAACTGTTCAAGGAGCTGATAAGTTTCTTATTTTAAAAACTAGGTCCATGATCTTAAAAGAGCATGAGAAGACCTCAAACAGAGATGCCACTTTCTCATACAGTACAGCAAAGTACCTTGAGCTTGAAGTTCTTGAACCCATTTCTTTGCACGGGTGAAAGAGGCCTAAAAGTAGAAAGAGTCATGTTAAAATATCTGAAATGGCACTTCCCTCTATGCAATAAATAAAACAGTCAGAGTAGTTACACTAAGTTTAGAATGCTATAGTGCTTCTGATTTCTAGACCAATTGAACCTAACAAGGATGAATGCATGCTTTAGAATATGGCTGCAAAATACATCAATATGCATCTCATGATATAAAAGATCTCAAAGTTGGACACATATAGAGTCACGTATACATATGTATCTAGTTAGTGTAAAACCATTTAGAGGAACATCATAAGCATTATTTTGTCAAGCTTTAACTACATAACCTATCAATCACATATTGAAGTATAGATCATCATAGACATGCCATATAGATCTACCATTGGTACTACATACATAATGAATACTAAGCTATATCTTTCTGTATGAGATCAACATCAAGTTTTGCTGGCTGTGATTCTGTTAGGTGTGAAAATACTACAGAGTACAAACTACAAACATAATGATCATCAATTTTTTGAACTGCATTTATGCTCTTATACACGCTCATATCGGTAGCACAACACTATAGGGAGTTATTGTATCATAAACGAGTTATCATTAGTCAAAACAGCTGCCAAGAAAATCATGAACTCGACAAAAATGGAACGCCTATTATTATCAAAAACTATGGTTAGCAAAAGGAAACCAATTGCATTGTACTAACCGGATTCGTGATGTCATAGACAACTATGGCAGCAGCCGCACCCCTATAGTACATGGGAGCCAAGCTGTGATATCTCTCCTGCCCAGCTGTATCCCAGATTTCAAACTTCACGGTTTCGTCATTAACTGCTAAGGTCTGTGAGAAAAATGCTGCTCCAATTGTCGATTCCTACAGATAGATAGACCAATAGATTCATCATTTGGAACACAAAAACCTCTTGATCCGCAACTTCAACAAGACAAGAATATGAACTTATGAAGAGACTAACCTGAAACTCAACAAACTGTCCTTTTACAAAACGAAGCACCAAGCTAGATTTTCCTGCGCCCACATCTCCAAGAAGAACCTAAGATTCCAGGAACACTGAAAAAGTCAGCATTGCATAACACACAAGATTCTAGCAATGCAATATCTATATGCTTGCACTGAATTCCAAACTCCCCACGACATAAATTTGTGCTTATAAACAAATTTTCCCAGAAATGGAATTTAAACATGAACATAGAGATGGGCTCAAAATCATCATCACTGTGCACATGCTGGAGAAACATCAATTGCCATGAAAATTAGGAACATCATCTAAAACAACATCTTCTGATCAGGCCAAAACAAAACTACCGTGCGTCTATTCTAACAAAGAATCTAATAAACAAGACTTTAGCCATAATAACACCAGAAACATTTAATGGATAATTACCAATAAATATGCAATGCTATTATTATCCAACATAAGAGAGAGACCCCCCATGTATTCGCCTCGTCACAATCTGTTCAATTCAACCATCCTAAAGAGGACAACCTGATATATGATCGGATACAATCCCACGCGATTGCGAAAAAAAAAAGAGGAGAGAAATTCGCGACAAGATTTCGATCCGCGGGCGAAATCAACAACCGATATCGATCTAGCGCACGAGATTGGGGGAAATCCCTCACCAGTTTGGCGTTGCGGATCTTGTTGCCGGCGTTGGCCGCCATAGGATTCGACGCCCCCGCGGATCGGGAGAGCTCGCTGCTTGGCGGAAGCTTCGAGATCAAATTCGCACGCAAAGCAAAGAGGCGGAATTGGGGGAAAAAAATTTATCGTCAGCTTCCACGTGTGCTACACGCCCCTCTCTTGACTCTCTCCCCACTCTATCTTTTTTTCCCCTTTTTTTTTTTTGCTTTTGGTTTGGGAAATCCATTTTTCAGTTTAGCCCTTGTTCTTATACGTAATTACACTCGTTTCACTGTTGCCCCCACCTACTCCCACGTTTTCCATGCGGACCGGAGGAGGAGTAAACATGTCAACAGGAGGCACTAGGGGGTTTAGCATAAAAAGTACCTTAACATGCACTTCTTTTAGATGAAAAGTACTTAAATATACACTAATATAATCACCAATTATCCTTGCACAAAGTTTGGTTTGTAGAACTGAGAACAAGGAATTTGAGAATAGGAGTTGGAGCTTACAAATGCTTGGATGCGCCTATGAATTTAGAGAAATTGACTTGGAGTTGGGGTTCAGTAAATCTATCTTTTTCTTTAATACTTTCTCCGTTTCACAACGTAAGTCATTCTAGCATTTCTCACATTCATATTGATGTTAATGAGAAATGCTAGAATGACTTACATTGTGAAACGAAGGGAGTAATGTTTTAGTAAGTTTATTTTGAGATGTATAAACCTAGGTTGTGTTCATTGGCCATGGTTGGGAACCTTACCCTCCCGCACGGAAAACGGAGCGATCCATTAGTACGTGATTAATTAAGTATTAGCTATTTTTTCAAAAATAGATTAATTTGATTTTTAAGCAAATTTCGTATACAAATTTTTTTTGCAAAAAACGCACCATTTAGCAGTTTGAAAAGTGTGCGCGCAGAAAACGAGGGAGATGGGTTGAGAAGAGGGGGCGTCCGAACACACCCGTGGTCGATTCATATATGCCCCTATTTAAGCCAAATGGTATAGATCCATGTTCCTTAAATGAAATATATATATTATGAGGCCACAATTTGCTCAGATAAACTCACTTATCTCTTTGGCCAAACTCTTACATATGGCTCTCAAGTCTCAAGCAAGCAAGCTGGTTGTCTCATGTCCATGCAAAAAAGGGACAGCTTAGCCTAATACAATCTATTCCAACCCTGATCTTGATAAAATTCCAGTTCTATCCTTGCTAATGTGTCAAGCCACCTCATAGAATCCTTCTCCTTGTTGTTGACATGCCACTTGTTTTTATTTGTAGTTGTTGCCTCTAGATGTCCTTGGGCATGGGTGTTGATCTAGATAGATTTATTTACTTTCTCCTCCATCATCAATTCACTGTGTTTGGCAGTGTACGTTGGTTGCCTCTTAACAGTATCATGGTCGCCATAAAGATTTAGGCTGTATTCGGGAGGATGGTTTGGGAACCCCTCCTCCGCGGCATGTAAAACGAATAACGCATTGTTTTAGCTATTTTTTTAAAAAATAGATTAATATGATTTTTAAAGCAACTTTTATATAGAATTTTTTTTAAAAAAAACGCACCGTTTAGCAGTTTAAAAAGCGTGCGTGTAGAAAACGAGAGAGGTGAGTTGGAAAAATTAAGGAAAGAACTCAGCCTTAGAGTAGTTCAATTATATTTCTCAACACTATTCCTACAATACACATTGGCCTTGTATGTGTATATCATAATGTTGCCTTAGAAAAGTGATATATATATATATATATATATATATATATAGCCGGTAGTTTATCTGCCAGAAAAAAAATATATTTCAGACATTCATTATCCATAGCATGCACCACCATTAACATCTTCAAGTCACTGCCTCACTGGTGCCCAAGAAAAGTGTTGCACCTTGTTGCCAACAAAAAGAAGGCATGCACTTACCATCAGAAAGTACTGGCAATATGTTTGTTGTACCTACTAAAAAAGTGTTTATTGTATGCACAAACACAATGCACACAAAAATATATAGGAGGTGTATTATGATAGCAGCTATTAGTTTCAATTCTCTTGCATATATGCGAAAATTCCCTCAAAGCATTGGCCTTAGATGTGATATTGGGATCTTAGGAGTTCACTAAAGAGTGACAACCAAATGTCAAAAATCCTATATAATGTCCCTTGTGGCTTTTAGTTCAACAGTGAAATGTTGCAAGTGGACCATCTATCTATTTATATGTAGGTTTGTAGGGGAATAACAAGAACAAAATTATCGGAAGATTTATAAATTAAAAGACAATGACATAGTCACTAAATGCATGTGTGTTTAGGTTTTCCTTGGGTCAATGATGTTTTAGGTTGCGAGGGATGACCATGTTGCGGTTGAACAAAAGGGTATGGTTATTAAGGTTGTGGATTGTTCAAGTCGCTACTATCCTTAAAGATACATGGACTAGCTACTTAGCTAGCTTTCATATTTATTATGGTCTGCTTAATGATGAGGTATACCATAATACCCATACACTAATTATTTGATGAATAGCAATGGAAAAGGAGAGAATGACGCATGGAACTTCACAAGTTATGGATGAGCTTGTTATTACTAGCTTCTTTGGATTTTTTATGAATTTTTAGAGGACTAAAATCCTTGGGAAAAAATTCGAATGATATCCTTTGGAACAAAGGAATATGAGCTATAATTCTTATGGATTGTCCTCCTACACCTACAATTCTATTGGAAAATAAACATCAGCTCAAACCTCATATTTTTATTTTCCTTTGAGGAGTTCAATACACTCTCTTCCTATATAATCTTCCTCTAGTTTCTCCATCAACCACATGCAAATTCCTTTGAAATTCATGTGGTTACTTCATGCAAACCATCCAAAGGTAGTAGCTATATAATACTCATATTTTCTTTAAAGAATTTTATAGGGCGTGACATTGCATTTTTATTTTTTCTTATAATTCTATATTTTTAAATCCCATGTTTCAAAAGGAGCCTTACAAGATATCCTTTTTTTTTAAAAAAAAACATACATATCAGAGGAGTAGGAGAATTCGTGGAAACTAATGACCACCCAAGCTCTGGTCACCCTAGCCCCAGCAACTTGGGCTCGCCCGCAAGCCACGAAACTATGGGCCTAATTGGGGGAGCTTCTGACAGCTGGAGATTCTTTTAGAAGCTGCTGTTGTCAGAAGCTCCATCAAACAGTCCAAATTTTCACTCAGATTCTAAAAAGTTATAGTTGCAGAATCCTAAAAATAAATTAGTTTCCCAGCTTCTCTGGATTCTCACCAGCTGCAACTCCGAATTTTAAGCTCTCCAAACAGGACCTATATGTCACACCCCAATCTAGCACCGCCGTACAACGGCACCTGACAGGAGCGTGTCGTGGGAAAAACGGCGCGAACCGCTTCCTACGAAACCGCGATCTCAGGTGTCGTTGGATCGAAACCCCTTAATAGGATGGCATTATTTGAGTAAAAAAATATTTGTGAAAGCTAAGGTGTCATTGTCCCCTTTAGCTCTAGTTTTGTGGAAAATCTTTTCATGTCCGAAAGTAGAAGCTAGTCGTTTGTTTTGACTTTTATCCTAAAGTAAACCTGTCTTCACGCCCAGTTGAAGAAAGGTGTGCTCAAGCCTCTAAGAGTCTTAGTTAAGCCGTCGTTGGTAGGCAGACCCTAGCTCCGTCACCCGCTCGGTAGGAGTTGTGGTGAACTAGTGCGTGTGTGAGTTTTGTTTGGTAGTCCGTGTTCAGGTGTTAGACTAGTTGGGTTACCGGCTGGAAGACATCACCTATGTCTTCTGCGATTTCGAAAACCGTTTTGTTGTAGTGTTTTTGCTTTCCTCCTTTCTTATCTCATTTCTGCGTTGGTCAGATCTCAGTCCCTCTGAAGCAGATGGCACGTCGCTCCACCCGTCAGATCCGTGCCCCTAACCGCTTTGGTTTTGAGGAAGAGCCAGTCCAGCCAGAAATTCCCGATCAACCAGTTAACCAGGCAGATGAACAAGAAGCCGAGAGTGATCATACGGTTGCTTCCGGATCAGTTAATGTTGTCGCAAGAGGTAATCAACCCCCACCCATGGACCTTCACCAAATCCTGGCCATGCAAACACATATATTACAAGGAATGATTCAGAATATAATTGCTATGCAACAACAACACACACAAGAGCGTCAACCCCATATGGTTCAAGATGATGGCCAATCAAAACTGAATGATTTCTTGGGATCTCGTCCACCGGAGTTCTCCCAAACAAATGAGCCTATTGAAGCTGATGATTGGATTAAAGATGTGGAAAGGAAATTAAATATGGTACAGTGTACTCCGCAAGAGAAAACCCTTTACGCCGCACATCAGTTAAGAGGACCTGCCGCAGATTGGTGGGATAACTACTGTGCTACCCATACAGATGCTAGTACCATCGTCTGGACAGAGTTTGCAGAAGCCTTTCGCTCAGCACATATTCCATAAAGCATAATTGATTTGAAGAAGGAAGAATTTGCAATATCAAGCAAGGATCCTCTTGCATCAACGAGTATTTGAGTCGCTTCAATAGATTGGCCCGATATGCCCCAGAAGATGTAGACACTGATAAAAAGAAGATCAGAAGATTTTTAAAAGGAATGGATGCGAAACTGCGAGTGAAACTTTTGGCTCACAACTTTTCGACGTTTCAGCAAATGGTCGATAAGTCCTTGTTACTAGAAGATGCAGAACAAGAGATTCAAGAATACAAGAGACGCAAAGTAATGTCCCTAGAGATTCAAGCAAAAGAAGGTTTGTGTCGAAAAACAAACTCGCCAGCACAGTACTATCAGAAAGCATCTCAGCATTCAAATGGTTCCGGTTCTATGTCTTGTTCGACTATGTCAGAACCTGGTCAGCAAACCACAATGATCAACAGTAATAGCCATGAAGGAAGCAACTCCGTATCATGCCCTACACCTTCAAAAAGACGTGGTCATAAGGCAGGAGTCGAATGTTTCATCTGCCAAGAGATGGGACACTATTCGTGGGATTGCCCTCAGAAAGTCAAGACAAAGCCAGCTCAACCAACGACAATCCTTCCCAACATATTTGGATCAAAAGGTTCGAAGTCACCGAACAGTGGATCTGTCTCGCTAACCTCACCGCATGTTGGACAAAGCCGTCTGAACCAAGTGCAAGTAAAAACAAATTGAAAAAAAAATGAGTCTTGAGCAAGCTGAAAAAGCAGATAAAGAATAAATCTCGTAT